CCATTGAAAGTCACGGCGGCCACCTGGGACGTTGTGCGCGCCAAGTGCTGTACATGCGTGCCATATCTAGGATGGGTTGGTTCGAAGTCCACGTCATTCGCAACAGCGTCGCGTATATTCTTAGTCTTTACAAGCATGCAGTATTCAAATAATGAAAGAGGAGCCAGGTGCGGTCCACGCCACTTATAATTGTCAAAGATGCTTACGGGGCCGGTGTCGCCCGTTTCATATGTGCAAGGTTCTTCTGCCATGGGATCAGAAGAGGGGCCGCTTTCAAGGTTATCTGGCTGAATGATTGCCCGAATATAACGCCTTAGCCACCAGAGGTTGATACGGACGAAGTTGTAGCTGATCGTGTAATAGGTTGGTAGCTGAAGCAAGACGCTAGCGACCTGCACACCACTGATCTCTCGGTCATGAGAGAGGGCATTAAAGCAGCGTAGTGCAAAATTATTGACACCTTTTTCTCGAAGTCGGAGATCTGTCGCTGTTGGTGGCTCAGCAACCTTTGCATTCTCAATAGATTGCTTCAACAAAGCCGCCTTGGCAACCATCTGCCAGGGAGAGACGTCATCTTTCGTGGCGTAGTTGGTGATGTAATAGATCAGCGACAAAGACTTGGAGACTGTCGGAATCCAGGAGATGTCTTGATTAGAACGAACACAACTAGCAATGGCGGGGTTCCACGGGTTTATCCAGGCATGGTTTCGAGCGAGGTGAATCAGTCCAAAATCATCTACCTTAGAGGCAGGGACCAGATCTCGAGGCATGCCAAATCGACAAGCATTCTTTCCGGGACCTGTTTGCCGGTACTTGAAGCATGTGGCGAGATGGTGTTTCGAATGGACTTGTGTTTTACGAGCGACACAATTGCTGTCATACGATAGTCGAAGATGGAAGTCGTCATCGGATTCAAAATCTTTGGCCGACGGTGGCATGCCGGGAAGGTTCACTTCAGGGTCTTGCAAAATACTCTCATCAACGCCTTGGGTAATGATTGACTCTAAGTAGCGAATCATGCGAGCCGCAAAGTCGCTATCCTGGAGGAGCCGATCTCGCAAAGTAGTGAAAGCCAGGTTTCCTCGCGCCCATGCTAATCCGTGGAGATGTAACATGCCTCGACCATTCGTCTCGACAACAGCGAAATGGTTCGAGAGATCGCCAAGGATACCGATCCGGTCAGTATTAGTAGCGAAAAGGCCGCCCAGAACGGCTTTACAGACTTGATGGAAAAACTCAGCGACTGCCACCGGATTAGAGGTAACGGCGGCCTCACGGATAGCGGCATTTGCCGCAGCCAAGTTGTTCCCAGAGTACTCTACGCCAGCCAGGATCAGGACCAAAGGATTACGTAGGTCAGAGGGGTTGATAGTGATCCAGAAAGCTGGCATACCGTACCGTGTAATCAGTCCTCGAATTTCAGAACGCATTCTTAGTTTCTGGGCGAAGGATCCCGGGACTTGCATCCCGACAGTCTCGATATTTCGCAGCAGTCGTCGGATGACCGGATCCTCAATCTTCTGGCCGCTTTCGATGGTCTTCGCTGCATTCTGGAGTTGGGTCACTGTTAGAGAGGCGATGTCGTCCACTGCCGACTGCCAGTTCTGCCGTTTAATGAGGAATGCGTTCCCTAGCGAGGACTTTCGGAGTTGGATCACATCATACAGCAGGTACATGAACGTTTTGTGGCGTGCGAACCTACAGGAATAAGGAGAGACAAAGATCAGTATCTATAGAATTTTTTTTTTTTTTCCAAAGAAAGCCACGCACCTTCTACTGTGGTGACGCAAAGCCCACTCGGCAAACGCTCCAATTGACACCGGGACAGTTCGTTCATCGAGATGGCCCCCAATGCCTCTCGGAAACAAGGTTGGAAACGCGGCAGTAAAGTAACGAGGGTCCGTCCAGTGATTTACCAGGGTGGTTTGGCCACGGATTGTGTAAGAAATTAATGGTATCTTTCGATGACCAAGGGGCCGTGTGCCTCTTGCACGTTCTCTGGCTGAGGTACTCTCACTCGATGGGGCCGGTTGGTTCGTAAGGACGGTGAACAATGCGTCCAAAACGCGGCGATCCAGGTCTTGACGTTCTCCGTTTATGTCCGTGGCGACAGAGCCGGTATTGAAAGGGCTACCGCCACTCGCGTCGAATGCACTATCCTGGGCAGCCTGAAGATCGTTCTCGTAGTTCCCTGTCTGTAGATTTACGGTGTAACCTTCGCGCTCGTGGTGATCCGGCTCGTCGAGATAGATGATGGTATCCCGCAGGTCCGGCGGGATAAAGTCATCGCCCCAGTCATCGATCATGGGACGGTTAATTATGGTGTTACGGTAGAGGTGGTTATGTTGGACAAGGTACTCCAAGGCTGCCAGAACCTTCGCCTTCCGCACGAGTAGGAATTGGATCAGGTCCGAATCTACGGGAGGTCGACGACCCAACCAGAACACCTTGATCAGACTATGTAATGTCAACTCCGGGCTCGGTAGGATCTCGAGAAGTGGTTCTGGGTCCTGTGGGATGACAATGAAATGGCCACGGAGAGCACGGTAGTTGATTGGCGAGGAGCGGCCACCTGGTCGCAGTTTCAAAACGACACCGAGAGGATGGCACTTTGCAATGAGACATTCTTCTGTCAGAGTGAGGCCTTCCAGAGCAGACGGATAGTCCTGGCACCGAGTCACATTCACAAGGTTCTTCGCAGAGAACTTGGGGATCATATTTCGATTGAGCGAAGCATGGCACGACGAGCACAGATTCCAAGTGTTACCATGTCGGCCGCAGGGATCAAGACTCCCCAACAGTGACAGCAGCAAAGGATCCTCATTATGTGCGCGGTAGATATCTGTGTCGGAGACAAGTTCCCCGCACGAACAACAGACGCATCTCTTCGCAGCCGCAGAAATCTCATCCTCGTATCTGGCTATGGATGCTCGTATATGCGAACAGGAGATATCCGGGGGAAAAGCATCGGAGGCGACGGCACGAGCCTCTAGCTCAGCACGCAGGAAACCTACCGCTCGATTTAAATTGGCCAGCGACCTCTCCAAATCTACCGTTCTCTCCCTGTTGACCGTGGCCTGTAAAGGATTCGGATAGCATCTTGTCTCTATATTGATGGGAGATGCCTGTGAGATCCGTGGCGACTGTGGGGAGGACACCGGCAAAGGACCTGCAGGAAGTAGCACTCTCTGGGGTCCCGGCCCGGTTCTCGAATATAATGGCACAGGGACGGGCCGAAGCGCAGCGTTTAGAATATCGAACGATGGAGGCGGAGCCATCGGCGCTTGCGGAACTGGTGCCAGAGGCCGCAAACGGGATCTCCTTTCTGGCAAGTATGCTACAGTATCATGTACAGAATTGTCATTAACAGGACTTGGTATGCGGAGAGCTGGTGCTAGAGGCCTCAAAGGAGATGCCCTTGCGGGCAAGGATGCTCTAGGATCACGAACAGGATGTGGCGTGTGTGGAACTGGGGCCAGAGGCCTTAGAGTAGAACCTCCTGCAGGCAAAAACGTTCCAGGGTCTCGAACGGGCTGCAGTGTGTGCTGAACAGGGTCAACAATGCAGCAGATAAGAAGGACGGACCACTCCCAGTACCTGGTACGATGCTACCGTCCTCCGTGTAGCTGCCTGGCGGCAGCGATTACACGTCCTATGATACAACGACCGGCAGGGGCGTGCACATGTAGAGCACGAAAAATGTAGCGTCGAAAAGGCAGGAACAGTAGGGGAAGTTAGAGGCGGAGGTGGCCCAGTTAAAATATTACTCGTGCCTACAGTAGCTGAAAGCTGTCGGGCTCTGACCGCCCGTTGAGAAGCCGTCCTGCGGCAATTGTCGCAGGACCGAAACTGTGTAGAGCGCCATGGTCTGGCGCAACCAGAGCAGAAAGAACGTTGCGCAGGAAGAGATGTCATTAGAGAAGAGATGGCTTGAAACCAGCAAACGGCATCCGTTCCAAGGCGCACTAGGAGAGGAGCGACAGGAAAAAGTTGGGGCCAGCGAGAAAGATCCGTGTTGATCATTCATATAGTAGAAGTCGAAAACGTCACCGTGCGCATGAGTGCATAATAGTACTATCTGCAGGATGCTCAGGACAAACAAGGGTGGAATCATAATAGAAAGGCGAGAAGGCCGGAACACCGACTCCAAGACGAGCGGGAACACCGGGATCCCTAGACACGGAGAAAAAGCAACAGAGGCCGAATACGAATTCGGGAAGCACGAAGCCTAAGGAGGAAGGAAAGGAAAGTAGGTGAGCAGCAATCAGAAGAGAGCGCGGAGAGACAGAGCAGCAATCGGAGGAGAGCCTGGAGAGTCGCAGCAGCAAACGAGAAGGAGCGTATTGGCAGTCAATAGGAGCATTCCTTGGCACGAGAAAGCACCAATTAGCAACGAAAAAAACGAAGAGTTTGGCAGTGAGAGGCCAGCAAAGGTTGGCGGGCAGCTCGCGCAGGGTTGTAAACCCTTTCACTACGTTCCTTCGTTTCAGGGCAAAAACGAAGAGTTTGGCAGTGAGAGGCCAGCGAAGGTTGGCGGGCAGCTCGCGCAGGGTTGTAAACCCTTTCACTACGTTCCTTCGTTTCAGGGCAAGGCAGCAAAGGAACGCGAGCAGCTCGCGCAGGGTAGTAAACCCCTCCACTTCGTTCCTCGTTTCAGGGCAGGCTTGGCGGGAGAGTAGGGTGGGTGTTTCTCGCTGTGTTTTCGCAGCGTCAACGTTGGCGTTGCGCAGCCGTGGGGTTGGTAACCCCTTCCACTCCGTTCCTTCGTTTCAGGGCAATCACCCATCCATCCAACCCTGTATTTGGGAAAATCACGTACTCTACATTAAGTCAGGAAGTTGTCATTTTCGACGCGCGAATTCGCTTAGTTTAGCCTTCGGTGTCTACTGTACTTTAATAAGAACTGTCAAGCTTGATGAATGAGCTTCACTTAAACTCCTGATGTGCTGTATAATGAGACAGAATCGAGCATTTAGTACTCGTGCCTCTTCAGTGACCACTCATATAACCTCAGTGGCCATTCGATCCAATGATCCACTATGGAAAGGTAAGCCCCGGCCGGCATTATCAACTTTCGCAACTTGCTATACTAACCCTGTATACATCTGAACGGTCCTCTGCAGCGACCTTGTTCCCAGTAGCTGACTCAAGGCCACTGAAAACCCTCTCCGCGCATACCAGAGTAGCCTTCACCGTGGGCCTTCCATCTGGTTGAAGACTTCCTTTTGTAGGACGCGTGCGGTACATGCACCACAGGATGAACTCTTTGATTATGGTAATATTGGGAACAGAAGATCCCTGCTCCGGCTTATAGTGAACTGGAACATTCCCGCTGTCAACAAGAAACCTGAGGAGTCAGTAAACAAGGAAATTGAGAAAGCATATCGTGGGTACTCACCCAACCCAAAGCCCAACGTACCTCCGGTGAATTGCTTTGACACTGGCAGCACGCGGATTTTGTCTCTTACTTGCTGAATCGAAAGTCCGAAGATGAATTCCCATATCTCAAGTTTGGAATTGGACGCAGGATGAGTTGAGTACTCAAGGTAAAGAGTAAGAGGATGAGCCGGTTTGTTATAATTGCGAAATTCCGGTGGAATTCTTGGTACTTCACTATCCATGGGGTTTTCCCAATCTTTATAGCTCATCTTTGGAACTTGGAACTGGCTTAAAATAGCCAGTGATTTTGAGGCAAAAGGTGACGTATACCTTCGTTCACCAGGTCCAACGCGCACATGTTCCTACGACGTATGCGATCCGTCCTAGGAGCAATATGCACGATGTGCAGCCGGTTTACCACCCTGCTTCCACTGACCAAAATGCACATGTCGCAGTTCCCAGGACTTCGGTGATCCATCTTAAAGCTGCGGACCTCAAGAAAGCGTGGCAGCATCCTCTGCTAGCTCGACCATAGAAATGCCCATATGTGATCTTAAATTGCCTACGACGCGAACTTGAAACAACTGGTACAGTTGCAGTGGGATCCCTAAGAAATAATATCAAAGTATGCATTTTTAAAGGTATGGCGGGCTGCTCTTGACCGCCGGATCCCCTCCTGGGAACTGGAGGGAGATAACCTATGGTCCCAACCATGTTGAACCCATCTTAAGTTAACAATGTATCATGGTTCCTGCTAATACAAAAGGCCAGCCCAGTCCCCGTTTGCGAATGTTTTAAATATTGTTTATTTTCTACACCTTCCCTTCGTATCTCTGCAATATGGCGCTCCGGTCATCTCCCTTGGCTGAAAATCTTACGCAAGATCTTCAATACGCCTTATATAATTGCGCGTCCGCTGTGAAGCCTGTCTCTCTGAGGGGACCTCGAATTCAAATGCACTTGAGCCACCTTTCCAATATACGTGCGTTAAATCTTCCGAATCACAAGAGCTTTTGTCTAGAACGAAATCGAAGAGAAAGACAGTAAGCAAAGTCCCACCTCTTTTTTCAACATGTCAATCCTGTCAACTTATACACGCTGGCTATATTACTAGATGCGATCTATGCCTACAAACGCCGCTCCTCTGCCCTTTCCAAATTCTTAAAAAACATCCTTATTGTAGACGGATAATGGATGGCTTTTATGTCTGAGTGCGGAATACAGGCAGAGCCACGGTAGTTTTCCTTCATTTGCCAGTCTTTCGCCTTGTCAAGGTCGCCTCTCGAGTTAGGACGGATTAGCCAGGATTAGTTGTCCCCATTTTTGTGGTGAGATTCTGTACGCGCGAGGATTGCAGGTCAAGTCATGTTCATCGGAATCCTTCATGCGAACTACAAATTTGCACTTCTACTTCCTCCTTGAATCTTTATGGTATTTAAATTATTCTGCGACTGAATTCCCCTCTTGACAGACCGGAGCTATGAAGGGCAAGCAACATTCGATAGCATTTGTCTAAGTTATTGGAATTGACCGTGTGTGTAACTCCTCTCTAAAGCCGATTTATATAATTCTGAAACCTCTCTTGACCGAGCCGTGACGATTTGCACTATTGAATCTGTTTCTCTGTGTCGGGACATATCCTCCCGTCAGAATAAGCAAAGACACTGTACGTACGTAATCTTGCTAAGCTGCGGCTCCCGCCGTATGGATTCAGGGGCATTGGACCACGACCTGGAATGAACATCTATTTTACATGAATCAAATTGACTTTTGCTTTGGAAGCATAACCACTGTCCACTTAACTGTGTACACAGTACCTAGCTGGTGATACCAACACTCTGCAACAGACAAAAGGATTGTAGAGGAATTCAAATCTAAACTGATCGGAGGGCTACGTATTACGAAGAACTTACAGTAAAGCAATACACAATGTCTAACTGATTAACTACGCTGAGTTTGATCGGGTCGTCGTTAATCATTTGCGCAACATAGGCAAATAAATGGCGAACATCATTTACAATGTTCAACAGACAGTCCGCAAATGACGATATAAGAATGAATTACATTGATCCCTCACCTGGTTGTCGTCACCTCTAAACGCCGTCGTCGGTTCCTAGCTTGTACAGAAGGTTTGTTCCGCCGGGGGATAACACAACAATCGATGCGACACCTTCGGCTCCTGATCTCATCGCGGTTTCTAGCCTGGAATTGCACAATCATTAGGATTTGAGAGTCGAACAAAAAGACTTGAGGGCAGTCGTATACGTAAGCGTACCTTCGAGTAGTCAGTTACATGCATATTGAATGAGAGAAAGAAGTGAAACGTGTTACTGTATCATACCCTCTGAGCTCTCTTTGGAGTTTGGTGGTCGCTGTACTAACGGGTCCCCTGGATCCCCATTCCTTTCCCCTGACAGTAAGGGGCCTTTCCATTTCCCCGATCGTAGCAGCGCGCTCAAGAACCCGTCCTGAGTGTGGCATTGTCATTTGGTAATCAACCATCGCTGAGGAAATTGTCGATCCTCTCGGTCCAACCTGTGATCGTGGCCAGAGGAGGGGAGCACCGGGCAAAACAGCTGAGTGGCGACCCTGACTAGTAAGTGCAGAAGCACCAGAAAAAGCTTTCGCAAGACATGGGACCATGAGGTGGTTGAAGTCCATCGTCACATCAGCTTCACTTTCGACCTCATGTTCGAACACGTTTAACATACGAGGGGAGTCTGAAGGCCGATATAATCAGCGCTTGAATGTCCGTCATTATGAGGGGCCAGGAATTCGTCAATGGCTGGAAAAGTCGGATGCCAGACTGTGACATCAGATTCCAAAAAGTCATGATATTCCCTCGTCCACGGTTTTGTAGTGACAGTAAGTTCGTTATCGACAGCGAGGGGCGGACGACACGGCTCCCGCATCAGGTCAAATACCGTAACCGGCATATCTCCTAAAAAGTTGATTTCCCAACTAGACTAAAATACGAACCCATACCCAGCCTAGTGGGATATGGTTTATAATCCAACTCTCCCCCGTAAACCATAGACGCTTGGCTGGGGGCGCGTATGAAGCTCTGCTGCCTGGCTGTGCGGCCAATCATAGGCCGTCTTCTGGTGGCTCTGGGTGCTCAAGAACGCAAACTGTGAGGATCGAACCGGCGCGCTCAGAGGTCGTGCAATGATGATGATGATGATGATGATATTTCTTATACCTAATGGAGCCTGCCTAAGCGTGCGGTAAGCTATGTAGGTCGGTGCACCCGGACTGGCACCACAAGAAACCTTAACGCCGAATTCCCAATAGAAATGACCGGACGGTCTATCCTAGTGCTTTGAAGCGACCGAGTGATCAATTGTTCAGTATGTTGTATTTTGTTCAATGCAATCCAGGGCGCCCCCGGAACTCAGATCGTACTTTGTTGAGCTTTGCAGAACTGTTACACCTTTTCTCAATCTAGCTACCACAGAGGGGACATCCTTCTTTCCTAGCGGCCCGAGTTAAACGGCTAGTACTTCGGAAGGTAAGCTGAAAGGCTAGACCGGTGACAGTTTTCCCCACCCGCCTTTTATTGCGTACCGCAGTAGCTACCCCTACCCCGGGTCTACCATCCAGGTCCTAGCCAAGTCAACCAAGGCGTAGGCTTTCTTCGGTAGGTTCCTCTAGGGTAAAAGTTGTGAAAGTGACAGGATTCGAACCCGCAGTCCCTACGTTCCGTGCTAGGACCCCAGCTAGCATTTTCGCGTAAGACCTAACCAGTGACGCACTACTGTTTACGCCACACACCCTCAAAAAGAAATAGAGGTCGTGCAATCCGGGCTCATAACCAGTTGATTTCCCAACTAGACTAAAATACGAATCCATACCCAGCCTAGTGGGATATGGTTTATAATCCAACTTAAAATGATCGTCAAAGGTAGAGAGTGATAGGAAGGACGAACTCCTTTATCAGTTTATTGTTCAGGTAGATGGGTTTAGGTTCTCTAAATATAAACGCCCAAACACTGTCGCATTCACTTCAGCTGCCCAACAAAAGATACATGATGCCCCAATCACATTTCACCATCCTTCACTTCAGCGATGCCCCTAGAACCTGCATACCAAATATCGTTTAAGGCGGAAGCATGTGTCCAATCAGGAACAATGTTCATCGTTGACCCGGCACGTATAACCCATGTCTCTGCTCTATTGTTTTTTTTGTCGTGCCAACGTTTCAGGTCAAGTACTGAAACAGTTCGAGGGTTTCTTTCTTAGGAAATGAGATGTATATTATTCGACCATAGGCGTCGGTTCTAAAATTAGTAGCCATCTAATAATAGATTATCCGTGCAGGGCGGCTACAGTATCTTGACGCAGAAATCTTATACGTTAAGAAACACGATACGGCTAAACAGAGTTTGATTACTATGTATCCTGATACGGACTGGTATGCAAACAAGGTTTACAGATCACCCACTCAGCAAGGTACTGATTGTCCAGGCCTTCAGAAGAGGCGCTATCACCTACCGACAGCAGCAGACCGGGACATGGCCAACGAGGCCGATATTCGTACCCAAAAGAACCTATATCATATTAGTTTTGCTATGGACCACGTGGCATGAGAAAGCGATATAGGATAGATCATCCTACTGAAGCATATGGGTATCTTAGCCCACCCCGTAGAACTATCAGTATAATACTCCAACTTGCGTGATTTGCTCTCGCATGTAAATCTGGCCTTGGGGTCTGTCTGGTTGCAGGCTTGTTAAAATTCCTGCTATAATATCCAATAGTCTAACAATCGACTACAGCCATTCTCGTAATTGGCTTGACCAATATACACTGAGTAACTCTTTCCTGGCCCTACCACCGTGGCCTTAGCGCAGATCAGCTATTGAGGAGGCGGCATTTATTTGAGGGACACCGTAAAGTGTTGCCTGTATGGTACAAATACGGAGGCGCGTAATATTACATCATACTTACGAAAACTCTGTGGAATTCCATGTAGCCCATAGTGGATCTCTACAAATCGGACTTGGCGAGTGCCACCCCATGCCTTCTCCCCGGGAGGTCTCGTAGCCGCACGACAGACACATCTTCTTTACCGGCCATACAATTGCGTCACGCAGCAATGCTAGATCTCTCCCGACCTCTCCTAGACCATCATTTTCAACTCAAATAGAGCTTAGAATATGCAAAAATATACGACTTTTGAATACTTTCCGCACGATCAGTAATCAAACTGCTTTTTGCCGTGAACATAGAGAAGCTGTGTACTGAGACCGCTAATAGAAATACAGTGTAATAAAGTAATTATTTCTATAGGCAGCCTACTATAAGGCACTACTTCACTACTTCACTGCAGTGCTTAAGGCTTTCAACCTCCCCGCAAGTTGCTCGGTCTCACGGAATACACGAAATATAAATGGAATACACTCGATGGCCCCACTTTTCCTCCCATAGTTGAATAAAAACCCTAATTGGAATGCATCGCAATTCAATCAAACCCGTGGGTTAGGGGCGTAGGGCTCCACAGTCATTCTTCAGTGGCGAGTCTGATAGTTCCGTTCCATGATAAAGCAAAAAGAGAGAGAGAGAGGAAGCCTTGATTTCGATAGAAAGCCACTCATATGACTCGTTCGAATGGGCCTCTAAGATAACGAAACGACCTGACAAACACTGGCTGGAACTCAAGATACCAAATTCCATCTTCAGATGCCTATGGATCTACCAAACGGTTGTGCTACTTCTATTGTCGCTATCATTATGAACTACTTCGTTCGATGTGGTCTCGAGAATTTGACTAGAAGTTGCTGAGTTTCGATGACAATGACCTAGAGGGGCTGTGGATGACCCCCTGGCGGGATAGTCTAGCTCATAGTCTGCATTCAAGCCGGTCGTCATTTTCGCATTCGCAATGTGCTTCGGAAGCGGGTCAAGACCACTGCAGTCTCTCATCCTAAGGTCCGTAGAAATTACGGCGCCCTGAGTGACCCTGAATATTGTCGAAAATTTAGTGCTATAGGACCCATGGTTTGAGAAATATAACAAGATGCCCGCAGCAACACTCAATGTAGTGACGCCGAATGCAGTGCCGTAGGCGGCCCAGAGGATCGATCTGGTGTAGACGTAGATATTGTGGTAAGAGGTAATAGTTACATTTGTTTCTGGCACTGCTTTGATTGTGTAATTGGGCCTTTTATAAATGTTAGTGCACTGGGGAGCGTAGCACCTAGACCGGACGTGCTTACTGGAACATTTTGGAGCTCATAAGCGAAAACGTGATGTTCTGGAAAAGTTCTTCAAGGGCTTTGGATAATAGAAGAGAAGAATCACTGGACGAGCTGACAGATCTCCCGTTCCAGTAATCCACAAATGGACTTTTAGGACCCAAGCTTGTGGCAGATTGAATGAATCTCATCTCTTCCGTATCCATCAATGTCGTTGATGCGATAGTGGTGTTCGGGCTGTCTGTGTTTGAAAGGCTTGTGTTGTGACTGCCTTTCCGGTTTATAACTACAGCTATCTCGGTACTGATCGATCCAACTAGTAGAGTACCGAATGCATCCATTATAGATTGATAAGACAGAGACTCCATGAGCTGAGGGTTGTGTATAAACGAAATATTTGAAAATATACGCTTATCGAAGTCGGTGTTGGCAACACCCTCAATGAAGCTAACGCCGTTGAGGACTGTCCGGTCTGTCACGTTGACTGTCTGGTCTCTATTGACGTAGGTGAGATCGGCCTGGTATGACGCATTGTGGAGCAGACAACGGAGAATCGTTGATTTCTGTACAATGCTGTCCACATTCTCCACAACTTTATTATACTCGGTATATTCCAAAGCATGCGGAAAGACGGCAACAAACAGAGACAGGGGTGGCCCGTCAATGAAAGGCTTTGCTGGAGTCAAGACCCTTACGAATGGATTGTCCGGATCCTTGAGCAGGGGACCAAGTTGAACCAACCGTTGCGTGTACGTATCACTCCCATTTCCCTGAACCTGACGGAAAGGAGTGGAATCAATCGGATCTTCTGACTCTGGTGCCCAAGAAAGATAGTCGTACATCCTGAAGGTCGGTGTTCCTGCCTCTGTAATCATCTTGGATCCGTTGATAGCTTGAGCAACATTTTGAGTGATATAATCGGCAAGGGTGTGGTTCACGTGGTCACAGACAATAGTAGGTCCATAAAATTCCACTGACCACGAGGAATTGACCGCTGGAGGCTCTATTGGCAAGATTGTACCCTGTGTCGCGACACTATTGACAACTCTTTGAGTTTCTGGCGTAGGACCGTTGTATCCAGTAATCCAGTAAGTCTGCGCCGTTGAATTTGGGACTATGATAGAACCGAGGCTGGCAAAATTTGCGCTCGTAAAATCGACACAAGGGACCCGTTTGAACATATACTCCTTGAAGGGAGCTAGACGCACGCTCAACGTAGCGGGCGATATCATCGACGTTATAGGAAGAAGCCAACAAATTATAACAAGAGTCATGCTTATAGGAAAACGCTTCCATAGTTGGAGATTGAGAACTGTGAAGCCATTCTTAAGAGCTGAGAGTAGATCGTCGACCATACCGATTTGAGTTCTTTGGCCGTGGATAGACTTCCAAACAAATTGATCAAACACCGTTGAGACTGACACTCCAAGAAAACTTTTCACTATGAAGGCAAAGAAAGTACCGAGTGAAATGTAAACTTGCTGGTCGGATATAATTAATGAGGAATTCAACAAATTGAGCGGTTGGGCGTTCAGAACAGATTTTCCATCTAAACTCCGATAAAAGGCGTCATGGCCAAGAGCAAAGACGACAGCAGCCAGAAGCGCTACCACCATTACCATGACAGCGGAGTATTTCAAGTTGAACGGAAACACCGCCATATTTGAGGTAGAATTTGGGACGTAGGGCGTCTCAAGGTGTAATCGATGAACTTAGGGCGGAAAAAAGGAGGGGGAAGGGGAAACAGAGAAAAAAATCCGTTCGTCAGAAGGCAAACTGAATTACTAAGCTATCTTATAGCCAGTTCTGGGCCTACTCTGTCGGGCGCCCTAGCAAGCATGACTTGCTATTAATAACTGCACGAGCACCGATTTACGGTGCGTCTAGGTGTGAGATAGACGAGTACGCTATCAATAGCGTGGGGCTATGAGCAGGTAAGTCGTCATTCGTCGCGCAACCCCCGCATTGATCCTCGCACCGACCCTCTCAGCTGAATAAGAATTATGGTGTACTGGAGACATTGTTGGCTTACCCTGACAACTTGGTTTCTTGGCATCTGCACATAGCCACCCACCCACCAATGCATTCAAAGCGTCTAGAGTATGGTGTAACTGCGAGGAGAGATGGAAGCACAGCCACAGCTGAACGTCTCGAGATATCCACTAGCACAGGACAGCCCCTGTCCGAGGAAGAACCACAACTTGGGACGCACCCACAAGGCGGGACCGCCCTACGGACCGGACCGTCCTAAGGCCATGGGTATCCTGAGAGATCCAGGACTCCACCGACACTATTGGACGTATCGTAGGACACTAACGTTAGCGATCTATGTAACGTGATTCACGGTCTCCCGGGCGACACTGCCGGTCGGGCGACCCCATAAAAAATCCCCCCTTTAATAATAAAACATGTTTTTTAACCACAACAAAAATGCCCCCCCAACGCTCTGATCGAAAAAAAAGTTGATAGAGCAGGAGGGCCGTCTTTTATTAGCTATAAAGGCTATAAAAGATGGTAAATATCCCTCTGCTGCAGCTGCTGCACGATCATTTGATTTACCTGTCTCAACTTTGAAGTATCGGATCAATGGGCGCGAATCTTTGGCTGAGAAGAGACCAACTGGCCATATTTTCACTGAAATTGAAGAGCAATCAATGGAAAATTGGTTACTTGATATGGATACCAGAGGTGCTGCTCTCACGATGCCTATGTTGCGCGATATGGCCAATCTCCTACGAAGTGCCCAGAAAAATACCCCCTCCACTATCGGTGTCAATTGGCCTACTCAATTTATCAAACGACGCCCGAATTTATCCAGTCGACTCTCTCGAAAATACGACTATCAGAGAGCACTTTCAGAGGACCCTCGAATTATTAAACCATGGTTTGATTTGGTCCAAAATACTATTGAAAAGTGGGGTATCACTTCAGATGATATTTTCAACTTTGATGAGTCTGGTTTTGCTATGGGGGTTGGCGCGACACAGAGGATTATTACCTCGGCTGAATACCATGGGAAAAGAGCTCTCTTACAAGCCGGAAATCGCGAGTGGGTGACTTCAATTGAGTGTATCAGAGCTGATGGAAGTGTTCATCCTCCACTCTTTGTTTTCAAGGGAAAACTTTTTCCAGCGCATCTACGCCAACCCCTCCTGAACAATCAAGAAGGAGCTGGTCTTACTACAAGTAAAAATGGCTGGAGTACCAATGAGATTGGTATTTGGTGGCTAAAATACTACTTTATCCCAAATATTGGGAGAAGGGTAGGAAAATATTGCCTCTTGGTCCTGGATGGTCATGGTAGTCATTTGACCCCTGAATTTGACCAACTTTGTGATGAAAATGATATCATTGCAATCTGCATGCCTTCACATGCCTCTCATCTTTTACAACCTTTGGATGTGGGTTGTTTTTCGGTTTTGAAGAGGCTTTATGGAGGAGCGGTTTCAACCATGATGCGGAATGGAGTCAATTCTATTGATAAGGAAGATTTCCTTGAATTGATTGCAGATGCAAGAAAGGGTGCTTTTACGGCCTCTACTATCCAGAATAGCTTCTTGGCTACTGGATTAACACCATTTAATCCAGATAAAGTCTTGGAAAAACTGAATGTGCACCTGGATGAACTTCCTCCTCTTGAGATCCTTTCCCAGCGACCACTCTCTTCCGGCAGTGATAGTGATCCAAATACTCTCTGGACTCTCTCGAAATTCTCAAAATCGCAATCTCGTATCAAAAAAGGTCTAGAATCTTCTTCTTCAATCCTTTCTTCGCCTATTAAACGGGAGATTAAGAGGACCTACGAAATGACCATAAAAGTGGTCCACCGCCAAATTTTCCTCCAAGATCGCTGTATACAATTAGAGGCAACCAACAAAAAACAGACAAAAAAACGAGTGATCAAACATACATTTATTGATCAGAGAGGCATTTTAAGGGGTCAGGAGAGCAGTCAGAGTGATGTGGTTATTGAGAAGAAGGATGTATGTAAAGATATATCTTTGCTGGAGATGCCTGTAGAACAACCTACAGAACCTGCTTTACCCTCTATGCCTACAGTTAGGCGGCAGGTCACCTGTTCTGGATGTGGTACTAAAGGTCATACGTATATTAAATGCCCTACACGTGTTAAATAGCAAAATTTAAGTTGTTTTTGTGGTATTATTCATGCTTAAAAATTGAAGGTTTTTTCATTTTTGGTGGGGCCGCCCGACCAGCAGTGTCGCCCGGGAGACCGTGAATCACGTTAGATAACACGACTTAGTCATCCTGTATATTAGTCAGCACGCGGTATTTTGCTTCTGCTGGGAAGAAGAGAAAATGGTCAGACAGTTACACCTGAGCGACGAGGCCATTGGTTGAGGAGAATACATCTGGTTACGTGATCAGAGACATATCCTATCGTAGGATATGATCAGACCCAAGGATAAGATGACCCGGGGATAGAATATATCCTACCCTAGGGTAGGAAGGACTAGATATATAAGGACACTCACTTATGTACTTAATTTAGTTCTTCGTGTTCAATCATATATTGCTACCGGCTAGACCTGGCTGGGAACCGCGGTCGAACCTCACGAACCTAACCTGAACCTCCATTTGGGCGGGTCAGGTTCCAGGATTTGGAACCTGAGGGCGGTTCCATCTGAGGACCGAACCTCATCAGGTTACCCGCGGGTGAACCTCAGGTTCCACAAACATGACAAACAGGTAAAAAACGTGACTCTAGGTTAATTGCATAATTTATGTAGAAACATGCTGTATTCTCTTGTAACTATAAGCCAAGATTTCATTACTGTATGGCCTTACCGAAGGATCCTGTATGTCTACTCCTTAGCGCATGTTCTAGGTGGGTTATCTTCGAATTGGGGTTTTTATTGTCAATTATTTACATTGCATCTATAGTGCAGCGACCAGTTATGGTTCTTAACAGTCAAGAGTCAAAATATCAAACTATATACCCATCTAGTAGTCTCGACTTCTTCCGTATCCTACCTGATACACGATGCTGCATATCAGGTAAGGGTAAAGCCAAGTTCTTAACTGGATGTGTAAATTCATCGCTATCAGAGTCTTCCTCATCGTCAGAAGAGACCGCCCGCCGCTTTCCAGCGGCGACCGCTGAGAGTGGTGGTGCGTCTTGGGTTGCTTGCGTAGTTACTGTTGTAGCCGGTGTATTAAGATGTATCTCGACGCCTTCCTCGGTATCACTAATGGCCTCATAGCAAGTTGTCTGGATATCAAGTTCTTCAGACGAAGCTGCGATCTCTTCCTCTGAAAGATACTCTTGGAGAATCACTCGCTGCTCCTCCTTAGTATCGAATCTTGTTGTACACATATACAACATGATATCGCGAACAGTCTCTGGGTTCAACGACCCCCGGCGGTAGTGGCAAACGTCCCGGGCAGAGTTAAAAAGACGCTCAACTCCGGCACCAGTCGCTGGAATTGACATTATATCACGGGTAATCCTTGCAAGAATAGGGAACTCCTTCTCATGATTTCTCCAGAAGATCCGAGCAGATTCATCGATAGTGGCTAAGGATGTTAGTATTTAGATTGATTCAGTGGGCTTGCTCACTTACCACTCTGGAGATATCTAGTTAGCTCGTCGTGTTGCGGACCGGTTGATTGCCGAAACTGTAAGGAATCGCCCTTACAGGCCCTCTCAAGCGCTGATTTGGCTGGTAATAACATACTATCAGACTGTGTCATATCTGATAGAGTATATTGGCTGTATGTCTCGAAAAGAGACCGAAGACTCTCATGGTATTGCTTTTTATAGTCCTTTTCAATATTGTGTTCTGGGGCCCAATCACTTGTTGAAAAGAACTCCATCTTATTTGACGGATCTAAGATGGTTCCAATTGCATAGAGATCACCTTCGACAAGATCAGTCATACCGTAGTATTTTGATAGTTTTTCTTTCGCCGCTATTAGGGAGGAAAGCATCAGCTGTTTCCAGGTCACCTTCTTTCGACGAAGCTGACGCATAGATCTTTCAAGATGATCAAAGAGCCTGTTATAAATACTAAAGACGAGGTGAATACTGGAGTCTTTAGTTTGACAAACTAATGTAGTGAACGTGAAGAAGGGCTGGAGGATGTAAAGCAGATAGTCAATCTGTCGCCACCCTTCTGCACTTAATGCAAAATTGGGTTGATCATGGAGCAAACAGTACTCGTCAAATGTGATATGAAGCCTTTTTGCCCGTCGGAGCATAAGAAACGTCGAATTCCATCGCGTACAAACGTCCTGGATTGGGACAAGCTTTTGCCTATTAGACTTGAGATTTAGGAATGCTTCCTTGCGTTGAGGGCTTCCATTAATAAAAACCGCAAGACCTCGAACCTATGAGAATAGTTAGTAGATTATTATATATGCAAAAGGAAAGGTTATTAAATTAAAGCCTACCTTATTCAGAGTATCGGCGATATCTCGCTTCTGCTGGCGCGCACGAAGTAATCGTACACGATCATCAGACCATTCTGATTCGGCATTTTCATTCTTCGGTGAAGCCTTGATTTTACCAAGTAATTCAACTAGACTCAATTGGATAACATGCGCAAGGCAGGGCACTTGGATAATCGTTGAATCCGTCCTTAGCTGTAGTTCCCGGATTGAATCATTCACCGCTGTGACAAGTGTCTTATTATTAGACGCATTATCAGTTGTCACCGCCAGCACACGGTTAGTGATTTGGTGTTTTTGTAAAATCTGGAGAACAACCTCACCGAGGTTCACGCCAGAGTGAGTTCCAGAAAGTGGCTCAAATCCAAGGAGGACCTCGCGATACTCCCATTCCTGGTCTAGGAAGTATCCTGTGATAGCCATGAATGCGTCCTGGAATGGTGAAGTCCAACAGTCAAGTGCAAGTGATAGTTTTGCACTAGATGGGAGCCGTTGCAGTGTCTCCTGTTGATACTCTATCACGAAACTCCGGAGGCGCTCGCGAATCACCTTTCTTGATGGAAAGCTTGGTGGTGTGGGTGCTAGCCGTGCGTAGGAAAAGAGGTTACGGAATTTTTGATGCTCGACGAATAGGAACGGTAAATGAGATGTAGTGATTAGATCAAGAAGCATCTGCTCCCATATTTGCTGGGTAAAGGTAGGCGCTGGTCTTCTCTCGGCCTAAAGGATAGTGAATTTCGTATTAGTATTAGCGTTAAATCTAGGCCATTTCGAACATACCGCGTCACTAAGTAGTTGCTGAATATTAGCCTTCTTCGGTAGTTGCTGGCGGCACCTTATCCCAGCGAGATGTTTCTGCATCGATGAAGTTCCAGTATGGTTTGTAGCTGGATGCGTAAGAACTGTGCGGCACTTATTACACATAACGCCTGGCTTTCCATCTTTGGCATTTGCAACTTGTTGGAACCCTTTCCAGCACTCTGCACGACGGTTTGTAGGGCTTACGTCCCAGTTGATCCGCTTCGACTTCCCATAGCCAGTATCAAGCTACCACTTAACGAATTCCGCTGTCATTTCTGGTGTGTAGACGATAAATTCGTTAATACGGTCGGGCTTGATTCGCGTAAGGGTGCTTGGGGCATGAGATGCTACGCGCGGTCGATGGTTTGGAAGGTCTGGAAGGTCTGGAACTGATCCAAACTGGCTTTCAGATAGTAGTTGGCTCTGGCTTTCGCGTTGGGATAGGGAATCGTCAGGAATGAGGTATTGTAGCGCGTCTAATGGTAACCCATCTGTAGTTTCAAAGCTGGACGATGTGTGGACGCCGGAGGGCTGAGACATAATAGATTTAGTAAACTAGAAGATAGTATAATAATGAGGGAGATAGTGAGGGACTTACTGATTTGTTTGTACGAAAAGATAGCCGATATTCTTGGGGCATCCGTTTGACCCTGTTCTATATTCTAAAAGTGATCTATCGTCTTTTGTATCCACCTATCTAGATCTGATTCGCTAGTATAGTGGATCAACCTGTAAGAGAACCTCATCTACCCGCATAGAACCTCAAAGAGAACCTCATTTACCCGCATAAAACCTCAAAGAAAACCTCAATTTGAGAAAATCGTCTTGATCAGAACGGCCAAGTCCAACAATTGCTACCTTCAAACCGGATTCACGACATACCTAGATCATTTGACCTGAATTCTTAAAGAAAAAGTGATATAAGAAGACATAATAGTTCAAATGATATAGAAATGATTGGATTTAAACTACGTCTTAGCAGTTTTCTTAAATAATAGTGATTATACTGATGAAGATACACATAGGTTACAGTGTCTGCGATATATATGTCGACACCTTTATATGCTGTTTTGTCGATGACCTCCGTACCTCTATTGACCACCTACCACGTCGATATTATCGAATATTACTTATAATTCGTAGGTTACCATGCCTACTGTTTACTTCGAAATGACTATCTTTTTATAATTCATCATGTTGATAAAGTATTTAGTAAAATGTCTACAGGTTGACGGAACAGCTGTAACAAACAGAGATGAATCATCAATTTTATCCAGCCAAAAGAGGAAAGGCGTCAAATAATTATGCATATACAGGTTCATGCGGGTCGATGAGGTTGAACCTCAACGAACCTCCTTGAGGTTCAGGTTAGGTTCAGGTTAGAAAGGTTGGAACCTAACCTCATGAAGTTAGGTTCCGGTTCTGAGATTTGGAACCTATGGGCGGTTTAAAGCCAGGCCTACAGTCACTATAAAGAGCCACGAGAATCCTCTTCTGTAAAAATCATATCGAAGAAAATCTGTGCTCTCTCTGCTATCCTATTGAACTGAACAACACCGCCGCCTTGGACAGATATCTTTCTATCTCTGAATACTCTACATAATGCGGCTTGCATTTCATAATTAAGTTTTCCCTCCTTTAGACAAAGATTGTTCCAATCCCTAATAATTGCACAGAGTCCTGCAATTTGATGTCGTTTCATTTTTTAGTTGGTAAAAATCAAAAGGGGTTCTCAATTCACCAGGCATTGGTAAGTTCTTTCCAAGAAAGGCTCTTGAACCAGCGATGATCGAGAGTATTGATGAGGAAGTTTTTGGTCGTTGCTGTGAGTTTGTATACTCTGGGGATTACTCTGCTCCATGTCCCGTTCCACAATCTCCCGGGAACGATACTTCGCAGTCAGAAAACAGGGAAACGCAATGCCAGGAAGAGGCGAACAGATGGGATTCTTCTAGCCTAAATTGGAATCTCTTTCACCCGAAGGGGCTTTTGCTTAATTATGGTCTCCTGCTAGCAAGACTTGGCCATACACCCAGATCTGGATCTGAGAAGGACTTGCGCAAAGACCCTTTCACAAGCTATGCAGCAGTGTTCCTGAGTCACGCTGAAATCCATCGTTTTGGAGTCAGAACAGGCTGGCTTTCGCTTAGTGTCCTATCTTTCTATCAGTTACTACGATTGCTTGAGAATTTTACTCTATTTGAAGAACGAACGGGAGACATCGTTCAGCTATTGGTATTTCTTTTTGAGGATAGTGAGTACATGGGGAATTTGGAAATCATGCTGCGAGACTACATGGTCTGGAATGTGGAGATTTTGATGCGGAATGCCGACTTCAAAAGTTTCCTGGAGCGAAACTTGTCGTTGGAACAGACTGTCTTTCGTTCAATGTGGAAATAAACGTGAGTTTACAAAATTGAATGTGCTGCGATCTCTATACCATCTTCCGTACATGTGGAGATCAGATTGAACTCACTGACTAATGTGCGCTAATGCAGTCATACTAACTAACCAATGGGTTTAGTGTGTCAGGCCGAAACGCGCAGGCCCCCAAAGAACCCGCATTCAGCTGTCCCTGTTTTATGCGAAGGAGCAATTAGGTCATATGCAAATAAAAGGTATCATCTATCAGCTCGCAATACACAAGACATACACATATTTTCAGGGTGAGGATAACCCGGGAGCTATAAATGGAAGCAGAAAATGGTCCCATGCACTCTTCGAGCATCGCTCAGTATGTAGTTCCATATCAGATTCCAAGGCTACTACTCCACAGATCGTGCACTCGCATCGCATACCGTGTATGGGTTCGAGTCAATTTCGAAATAGTCTGGATTATTTAACGTATTTCCCAAGCGAGCGCCGCACCCAAGCGAGCGCCGCACCCCACCTATTACATCTACTATTGTTATTCAATTTTTCCAACCACAATTTGTATTCATTAAAATTGAAGCTATTCAGACCTCTCTGGACACCGATTTCTCTTATGTCTAGGCGTTTTACAGAGACTGCATCGCTGTGGTCTCCTCTCATTGGTCGGATTAGGCGTCGGCGATGGGCTGCCAGCCTGGTTGAATTCCGCTTTATCCACCTGTTCTAGTCCACCAATGCGCTCTATAGCTTCTGATACTAATAGAGCACTATCATTAGCTATTCGAGCCTTTGTACGCCGCTTTTTACGCGTTGTCTTCGCATTGGCGGCGAGTAAATCGGTAATTTGCTGCTTCGCGATCGTGAAGCTATGTATAGCGAGCTGGCAGCCTTTCTCTATCTAGTCTAGAGCCTCTCCTAGACGTACTAGCTTATTAGAAGTAAGCTTCTTAATAGACGATGCCTATCTCTTCGCTTCCTTAATAGTATGCGGCGTTTTCGGAGTCTAATTGCGGCTTAAATCGCTGCTATTGCTTGGTGGTCTTAGAGGGGTAAGTAGACGAATATCAAGCTTTGAAATAACGCGCTGTGGGTCGAATAGCTTGATACTAGCGCTGGCGAAGCTATTCACAATATTAGACTCTGTGAATGCTTTGATTCGGGCCGTTCTATATGCTTCTAAGAAGTCATTTTTATCGACGCGGTGTACGCTAAGCCTTGTCTAGGACTTAACCACTTCACTATAAGCCCGCTTTAATACCCTAAAACAGCTAATATCGAGAGGTTGTAAAAGGTGAGATAAATACGCCGGCATATAGACCGTGATAATATTATTTTAGGCGTAGATTTCGTTAAATCGAGGCGTAAGATAGCTACTATGTCCGTCGATAACGAGGAGACGATATACTCCTTTCGTACGGCTAATAGTCGATAGGATAAAGACTTTTTGAAGCTATTTAAGGCTTATAGAATCCGTAGTCTATCCCTTTTCACTAACCGCAAAAAGCTAGGTCGCTAGTAGGTCTTTATCGCTGAACTATGCCTTTATAAAGACCTTGCCCTTAAAAATAACGCATAGCGGCAACGCGTACCCCGACGCGCCTATTGCTTTAATTGTCGTCACCTATTCGCGATTTCTAGGCTATAAAAGGGATCTCCGACCGTAGGAAGTCCTCGTCACAACTTTTGTAGTAGCTATAAGGCCGAGAGCGAAGCTAGTCTCGTCGAAATTGTAGATATCCTCCTTAAGGATGCTGTATTTCATGATCGTACTTTGAAGGAAGTTAAACCACGTTGTGACTATCTTCACGTCTTCGCATTGAGCTCGCCGGTAATCGTAGGATCATGAGAATCGAGTAGATAGGCCGGGATACCATTAGACGTAATTGTAGACCTAGTTATTACCGACTATTTTAGCTGGTTAAATTCCACGGCCCTTAAGCAGTAAATTGGCCGCCTCTCGTATAGTATTCGGCCGAGGAGCTGCTCCGCGTATATCTAATAAGACAATCCAATTATAAAGCGTCTCCTCTTCCAAAATGGTCAATTTATAGCTGTTAGCGCGGGTTTCTTCGAGACTTTTGACGCCTACTAGGCGGCGACGGAGTGTACGGTCGGGTACGTCGAAATCGCGTGCCAATTGACGCAAAGAGCATTTTTTACCATTTTTTTGAGCTTCAATTGCTAAGAGGATCCTGCCCTCTTGTTCTATACGTTTTTGGGCTGATTCAGAAGGAATGGGTGGCATGGTGGGGGTTTAAAAGAGAGAGTTGTATAAAACGCGAGAATGGGTGCGGCGCTCGCTTGGGAAATACGTTATATCTCTTTTTATGTAAGTCTATTGAATTGGGACCCAGAAATTGAGCATTACCACCCCATCAGCAAGAACCAAGCACCATGAACATCCAGTTATTGTACGTATTGTCTGCATCACTACCATAGCGCTGAAGCTGCATGACCTCAGTAATATTCACGCCAGACATTGCACTCTACTATCTTCATATGCCCTCTTCTGACAAGTTTCATGATATTCCCAAGGGAGGTAAAGCGCTGAGTCCAGATCCCGAACTAATAAAGCAGAACCAAGGACGAAAACTTTTCAACGCAAATCGTATAGAAAGCTCTAGAGGGCATTTTTGCTGACATATGCTGCCAACTGCTCGTTTTCCCGCTGCTCGTGCTCGTTCTCTTCGCGCGCGGGATTCGTATGGAACTTCTCTGGTCTATATTCTCACTGGATACGGCAAATGCGGTTCCATTCCAAATTGGAAGTAAACGGATACCGAGTCAATGGCTTCATTGATTCATGGCCGGCCTATTCTTGTTTTTGAAGTCCCTGCATCGGATTCGCGCATCGCCAGCGACTCCTCACGCGATGCACATCAGAAGCATGGCGCTGGAACGCCATTCGATGCAGCAAGCCTACTTCACATCAGTTGCATTTGAGTGGTTCTTCTTTAAGATGGATAGTATCAAAGTGGCGCGTAACACACCCGGGATCATGAAACATCTGAAAGCGAACCTTGTCCGGCAGCCCTTCACTTGCGAAGCATTGAAAGCATGCCTCTGGCTGCTTAGCAGTTTCAAGGTACTCCCTGGTGGCACGTAACGGCTTGCCACATACAGGGACAGGTACCTTGCATGAGTCGATATCACTTCGGGTCTGCTGTAAATCCTTCGGCTGAGCTATTGGTCCAGTCGGCGAAGCAGATTCAGGAGCTTTCTGTCTAGGCTGGCCCCTCAATGAGCCACCTTCAAGGACGTCACAATACTGAACAACCGCTGCAGTACCCGTATCGCGCCGATGTCACTCATCCTCCAACGAGTTAGAAACAGGGTAGGAAAAAAGACTCTGCACGAGATGCAACTGAAGGGGGTGCATGGTGTCTTCCAAGGGTGAGTCTTCGCTCTCTTCCTTGACTGCGGTACCCGAGAGCTGCGCCTCGATATCCAGGAGCGCTTGCTCTTCATCAAATTTCTTTCGGATCTCATGCCGTAAGCTCCGGTGCAACCTTTTTCGCGTATTTCTCACCTCCTTCTCCCGTTGCTGGAGTCTAGGAAGCAGGCCGGGTTCCTGGGTCTCCTCGTACTGCGCGCGGATATTGTCTAGGTTGCGCCGTGCCTCTTCCAACTCAGGATGTTCTTCAAACTGTGCCCTTTGTTGACCGGTCAAGTAGCGTGGGCGTCGCGTGTCTCGCCAACGGCTTTGCCGTGTAACAGCTCGCATCAGTTCCACATCCGGGTCAAGGCCACAGATCACCCGGATCATGTCAGTGTCGATTTGCAGGGGATGATAGTGGTTGAGAAAGATGCGGGGGCTGGCATGCTTCATGATCAACATATGTTGCTCCTTGCTCACCCACCCTGCGGAGTACATCAGCCACCAACTTGACAAGACAGATCAAATTCACAATGTCCATGGAAGAACTCACCACTCTCGTTGATCACTTTACCACTTCCATACCGGAACTGATGGGCGTGAAATGCCCCTTTCCATGCGCGAATCTCGCCAAATGTGACTAGCAGGGTGGAAATCGCAGACTTGGGCATCTGTATAGTCCGTTGAATGGTTGGAACGCCCTTGACCAACTCTGTTTTGCAAAAGATATACCATTCAGACTTGTCGGATCTAAAGGCACCAGGAGCTGCTCACAGCCTTTGCTGATGAAAAGTTTCCGCAGCTGAGCCTTCGAAGTCAGCCCCTGATTCCGGAACGCCCGCGCATGAAACAGGACGCCAAAAAGCAATGTGTGCGGGCATATCACCAAAGACGGCCCGTAAACGATCTCGGGAAGTGCAAAAGTCGTTCTGTTGATAGGTTAGCTGCATCACCCTAGTCAGCCATTCCAGGGATGACAAGAAGGATCTCAAGAGATATTATATATCTGGAGGTGAATGGGAAATTGAGAGGGAGAGACAGAAATTGCGCTTGCCGTACAATTTGGTGAGACCGAGAAACTTTTTTGTCCATTCGGGAGTAAGTTCGATCATAGGGACGGGTCCTCCACGGGGATCCTTCTGGAGGGAGATCTGCAGGTCCTTGAACTGCAGACTCAACAGGGCGCTTTTCCGGTGCAGCGTAAAGATACCGAGAGAGTTGAACAGACACACTTGGATACGTTGAAAGCCTAGATGGAACTTCTTCTCCTGTGTCGATAAGATCGTTTCATTAAACGGGCCGATATCCTCGATATAAACCGGCGTCTTCTTTCCAGGCTGCGTGTCCAAGCCAAACTACTGGACCAAGTACTTCATACCCTATAATCAATGGTAAGTCAAGGATATCAAGCTGGATCGGAATAAATTTGGAGGCATAATGACCCTTCGTATCTCTGAGCCATCTTCATCTTTGATCACAATCTTGGTGAGCTTTTGATAGTAACAGCGAAGGTTTTTCCAGTCGGTCTCGAATGTGCTCATCTCAGATCTATACCTAATTTCGTATAAAATACAAACATTGTAGTCTCCGCAGTCCTACTGTAAAGTACGAAGTCTATTCTAGGCACCGGGGAATCCAGTCGTAAGAGTATGCAGATGAAACCGAAATCGAAGATTACTGTATCTAATCCCCCATTAAACCACGTAACTCTTATATTGCCTGGCTCTAAGCCACTTGACTTTCGTAGTCCTGCTGTTTATTCAGAACTTGTAGGGTCTGGTCTGCAGGGGTATAGAGGCCTCACATCCACTAGAGCTAGCATTCGATAATTACTTCGTCGGCGCAGTCGAAAGTCATTCGAGGCTATGTGCAGATGCCAAGAGACTGACTGTTTCATGTGGGGCTCATAGCCCAATGATGTTCTACCCTAGTTCAGTTTGGAGGGTCTGTGCCCCGGTCGTGGCGGCCCGAAGGTCTCTCACCCAGTTCTCACCCTGATTCTCACCGTTTTTTTTAATTCGTTAGGAAATCCCCTCTTGCCGCCCTAATATTCAGTCCCTTCAGCCCATTCACCTGAATGCCCTGAACACCACTATACTACACCTGAATTTCCTGCACGCCCCTGAACCGCTGACGTGTCCTTCCCCTCCCATGCTGATACTTTCTCACAGGCATGTTGTTCTGATCACAACTCTCTGGTATTAATGTCTACTAGTTGACACATATCTTCCTCGAATTCAAATGACAGTAGGAAAGAAAAAGAAGAATGGCCGCCTAGGAGAATCAAACTTGTTATTGAATATAAATTCGCTGGAGGCCACCCATCCCACTACTAACTCACCGGCGAGTGGCTTAGGTCAGTGGTGAGCAGCCAGATGAGCAACCCCTCCAGGCTCTAGTAATCGTCGCACGAACCCCCAGTTAAGCTATGTTAGAACATCATTGGATGACATTGTTTCTTCCTGAAACGCTCGTTTTTTGGCATGTGCACAAGACCAGAAAGGATGATAATCAGCGTACACCATATCGGATGTTGGATAGAAAGTCCGGTAAAATTTGACCTTATAAGCACTGAAAGTACGGGGCCCTGGTCAAAAGGCAATCAGGTTTGAGCATCCGAGCCAGGGGAAAAGAGGAAGAAGGACAGAGATGAAGAGTTAAGCAAATTTTTTTGATCCCGGAAAACCGGTCGCTATGCTGCCCGTGCGTGGCTGTATACAGTTCCATGCTTATAGGAAGTGTTCGTCTAGACGTAGAGAGAGATGGATATACTACACCTTACTCCTAATTTATTACGCTTTCTAACTTACCTCGGAAAGTAAAGGCTGGAAGCTGTAAATCAAATACTAAATATTGCAGACAAAATTACATAACTTGTGCAATCATATTTTCGATGTCTATTATGTTTGTCGGCCGTGGAGATGTTTCGATGGCCACCCATGGAGAGCAGGCAAAGACCCGCCTGCCCTCCGCCCGAAAAAGTGCAGGTCTATGGGCGGCCCTTAGAGGGCGGCTCGCGGGCGAGTATAAGGTCCTTGTGGAAGTCGAAGAGTGGGCCTATGGAAGACGGAAATAAACAATTTGTATGTTATATATAGTTAGTCCCCTAGTTCCCCTCTCACCCAACAGCCCAGATTTTGTTTTTCGCCTTCCTTCCCCCCACGCCTCCTAGGTAAGGCATTTTCCCTATTAACCCGGATCACCGAGCTCCTAAGCTCCGCTACCTCGTTTCTTCCGTGTGTGACTCGTCGACTCTTCTACGATCCTCGAGATTTTCGATTATAACTGGACGGGCGAGGATATCCACGGCTAAAACGACTTAGGGTGTAGATTATATCACCCAGTATCCCACAACCTCTAATAAAAATCTGGGCACCATCGGTCCGCTTATTATCCCCGCGTTAGCAAAGGACATAACCACACCCGTCATGGTACCCATGGTGCTTTGACCGACGATTTCTGCGACATTTGCGAGGCCAACAAGAAAGAAACATATATATATATATTCTCAGATATACCAAAACGATTTTATGGCTTCAGATAATCAGAGTGAGGACTGATCTGCAAGTGCTGTGTGCAATACGGTGTTGTTCAGACGTCAAGAAGGTGAAAAGCCCTCGCCCTGTGAGTCGTTTTGGAAAGCTGATCAAGCCCCATATTTCTCAGTGACCTGGTGCTGTCTTGCCATTATTTGTTTGTTTCTGGTCGCAAGTTCGAAGCGCCTCCATTTCACAGCGTACCATGCCCCTACCACAATGACCGTCACAGGAATGGAGATGACCCAAAATATCCAAAAGTCTTTCGATACTGTGAGCGAGTCGTCTTCATCTGATACACCAAAGAATTGGCTCCCAAAGATAGTCTGGCCAATCAGTCGGTCCGAATTAGCTCCTGATTCTGCAGCGAAGAAAGTGAACTTACCGATACAGTAGTGAGTGGCAAGAATATTAACGTCACCAATCCGATGGTAGTCATCGTGTTGCTGTCAGACTGCATGATGCGATTCCCTTCGGCGGCCACGAGATGGAACGACTGAGAATAATCAATTCGACTTCACACCCATCGAATGAAGAGACTCACTAAGGCAATGACACTTTGCATCCTTCTATCTAAGCTTCTCAGCCTCAAATTAACCGTTTCAAAACTGGTTTCCACCTGTGTCAACATTCCCCATGTACTCTCCATGAGTACCTTGTTCTCATCGGAGGCTTTGCTTTGGAGTAGCTTGAAGTGTGCGAGGACTTTCTGCACGATCAGATACGTAGCGTCGCAGCTTTCTTGAAGATGAACGATATGTTTTGCTACGTTATGCAGCCCTGTGAATGACTCCCTCTCTTGAGACAGCATCAATGCCCTCTGTCACTAGTTAAGCCCCAATTACTGTAACATTTATGTGGAACACTCACCGTCTCTATCTTGCCAAAAACTTTGGACACTTCCCAAACTGTGCTATCCATATCACAGGATATAGCCGTAAAAATGATAACCAAAAGTACCAATGGATCTTGCATTGCAGTTTTGACGGACTGAAGAGTTCTTAGTCGGCCTCGAAGAAGGTCTGAAGCTTCGAAGCAAAGCAATGTCACCTGGGGCTCATCCAAGTCATTGGAGTTCCATCTAATAAAATATCCCGACCTTTCCCAGCTCCAATTTGCTTGATCGAGGGGTTGCAAATTGTAACGCGGTTCATAAATCCATCTTTCGCCGTTTGCACGTCCTACCGAAATGTTTTTGCACAAGTGGTGGAACCAAATACCTGCAGAGGATTAGACATAGGTATATTTGTGAAGTCTATTAACGCACAGTTGTTCCCGTGGCCATCATTCTGTGCACCAAATGAGTGAGTGACCGATCGAAGCCGCTCGTCAAGAAATGCTGATGGGACTGAATAGTGACGAAAAGCCCATAATAAACCATGTTTCCCCTCGTTTCCAGGGTGGTCAAGTGGCAGGAACCTAATTCGTTGATCAATTTCCCCCCTCAATCTATTCCAATCGATTTGTCTTACACTATTCGTAGATGCGACTTCGGTATTGTAGCAAGTTCTGGGACGGACACATGGTGAGAGCGTAGTTGATCGTCGTCTAGAAGATTAGCAATGGAGATATCTGACTCTGTGAATGGGTCTATCCACCTTTGCTCCAGTCTAGAACTTCGACTTTTGTTTTATTCGCATTGGAATGGTCGAAATTGTCTGTGCCCACAAAAGCCTCGAATACGGATGGGTCCTCGAAAATCGCGGCCATGGCATCGATAAATTGGGTTGTGAATCAAGTCTGGAATGTATTTGTACCGTGTCGAAGAGTTCAATGTGATCGCTAGTGCAGCTTCTGTCTGAATAATGCCAAGCTCAAGATCTCCGGGTCTGGATACTTGACCAATTTCAACTCGTTGACCGTCAGGGGCATCCCGTCCCGGATGCCGATCAGCGGGTGTAATCCCCCGATGACCTGCAAGGCTGCCTGATGACTGAGCCTTACTAGACGAAACTACATTACCTTGCGGGACTTGGCTGGGTATTATTAATACAGCGTCAGTGATTGAAACGAGCCTAGACCTCCGCAAAGCCCATAAATGGGCCCAGACCCTAGGCCCACGGCCCAACCCACGGTGGGCTATGGGCTCAACCTTCAAAGCCCAACCCAACCCACAGCCCACAGTGGGTTGGGCCGTGGGCCCCCATAAAAACCCATGCAAGCGCTGACAAAGCGGACTCTGTAATCGTTGTATTACGACCTTCCACCAATCGTATGAAGTTCAATTTTAAATTTTAAAATAAAGGGAATACTATGAGTACGCATGCTGATTTTGAACAAAAATCCGATCGGTGGGGGTCGAGATATAACCCAAAAGGTGAATGTTGATGTTTTGATGTTAGATATATATCTAGGTTTTATAGGGAAGCACCACCACTTTCTGGTGAACCTCTGTAATTTTGAAAATTTCTTAATACCGCGTTTTCTCGTGTTCTTTTACGTGACATAGAGAGAATGCTAGTAATTGATTCTAAATCATTAAATCTAATAAAATATTACCTTAGGCATCAGGGTAAGAAACGGACGTAAAACAGAAGTAATTTAATTAATACCAAAAAGGGGGTTCAACTTATCTTGGCATCCAAATTCTCGGCATGTTTGTATTGTTTGGGGCCCATTTGGGCCCCCATTAACGCACAGTGGGCTCGAGGTACAAGCCCATAGCCCATCGATGGGCCTAAGGACCGGGCCCAAAACCCAACCCATTTGCGGGTTGGGTTGGGCTGGGCTTTGGGCTTTATGGGCTCTGCGGAGGTCTAAACGAGCCCCGATGTATATCCACAACTTCCAGTCCCAGAGGATCCATTATGTTTAGTGCTGAGGTCATTTCTGCGTTCTGCATGGGAAGTTCTTTGAAGATCAGAAGTAAGGAATTAGGAATCCACGTGGAATGAAGTTGTAAGCTGTATCAAGTTTTCAGGTTTCGGTGTGTCATATGTATCAAGAGTATTGCCTCGAGTCGGCGGTGCTCATTTCACAAGTCCCAAAAACCATGCACACCCCCGCCCGCCGTAAGTATTAAGTTGCAACTTCTGATCCCTTTCCAAATTGAATCGCGTGCTATCTTTCAGTCGCCATGGAGAAATCGCCAGTAGATTCCCTTCATCCTTGGTAGCAACGGATAGCTTGCTGAGCTGCAATTAGGAATCTAGTCATGACAAGCACGGCGGTGGCTATGTGCCTAGACAATCGCAAAACCGCTATCCGGCCCATTCAAATCCAGAGCGAGCGCAAAGGGAGGGCGAGACAGTTCAAAATTCGTCTCTTTCCGGAACAGTTCACCGTCCATCCACCCATACAAGCAATGACAAGCATGGTGGAGGATACGTGCCAAAGAGCGCAAGGTAGACACATGGCCGTTGTATGTCTTGAGCGTGCTTATTGTAGGGCGTGTCCCATTCTTGTTCAGGATTCAGAAACAAGAGGAGAGTCTTCGAGGGTTTGCATGGTCACCCACACAGACCACACCCTTGGAACGGGCAATTGAGATATGGTACACATGTATATTATCTCTACTCTCTGTCGAAGATTCTACGATTCTACATTATATATTCCCTGAGATTTGAAACGTGTGTCAATATTTGAAGGTTGTCATCAACCACCGTTCGTCACGTAATAACAGAAGGGGCCTATCTGCCCCGAGATGGCGTTCATGAAGCCAGACTTATCCCGGACGGTTTTCTTACAGTGGTAGGACATCCATCCGAACCATTCTTTGTCCTAGAGGATATTATGGCCCTCTGCCTATGTGTGGACGTGCCCACCACCTACCTTTCTAGAAATGTGACCATGTGCGATGTCTCAGCTGAAAGATCGGCGCACTGCTCCTTTTTTATTTATTTTGAAAACTTAGTACTTTGACCTTGATTTGCTTTTTCCCAACACCCTGTGACTTTGCGCCTACTCCCTCGTGTCGAATCAGCTTGGACGCGATATGCATGTTTGCCCCACGCCATGTAACCCCCGCACGCTTCGCCAACTTTCAGGGGTGATACAGGGTTGAACACGAAGCAATTTTGCTGATCTCTTTAGTATCGTTACACTCGAGCACGCACTTTCAGCCGCAACCAAATTAACACCCGCTAAGCCTCAGGGGCAAAATGTTTAAATGTTTGCACGTCAAAATATACGTCGCTCCCCGAGTCAATGAGCATAAAATTCCCAACAGATAACCGACAGATATCATCAAAGCAAACTCCACCCACACTGCTCAAATGGCTGACCAGGTAAGTTAAACAACAGAAGCCTATGGAGTTTGACAAACGCTGACCTTGTCACTTGTCTTCCAATAGAGCTCTGTTCAGCTATTGGAGATCCCGCAGTCCTCTGCAACGAATGCAGGTACTACCTTAACGCCTGAAAGCATCCAAAGCACCCACGAGAGCGACGGTAACTCGCAGTCTTCTCCATTAGTACTCCTAGGGCCCGCACCGCCGCCCCCTTGGTACCCCCCTGAAGGCGATTCGCAAAACGGTCGCAGGACCGACACATCAACGCACACGGTATCTCACCTCGCAAACAAATTCTTGACTTGGGTAATAAGAGAAACATGACTGATTAAGGTTCATTCTGCCACAGCCACCATCTTATCCGCTCATTGGAAGACAATTGCGATACAAGTCAAATCAGCAGTTTTGGCACCGGGACAGCTTGGGACGTAAATGGAAGGGCCGTAGAGACGATCGGTTCTTAAATGCTACCGATGGACGTCTATTACCACTGGTCGTGCAGTCGACAAACAAGGTTCGCCGAGAAGCAGGCGAGGTTACCTGGGCTCGAACAATCCTTATCGATGACACCCCCGCTATCTTGAAAGTCATGTTCTGGGCTTTGGGGTCTCGCGTGACAAAGGACGCGGAATCGAGCACTCCTTTCCACGTTGAAGTTACGTCTAGCACTCCCTTGATTCGAAACAATCAGGCAAGGGCACAATTGAAAACTTGGTTCAATTATCCAGTCGGCGCGGTCATAATTTTTGTTCTGGTTTGTCTCACACATTATTAACTTATTTCTCTATCTTCAATATGTTGACAACTGCTAAATAGCTATTTTTCCCCGCGGACCTTGATGGAGAACCAAGACACAATGGTCAATATGAGCCGTTTAAGTATCATTACTGGGGCTACGCGCCCATTTCAAGCAATCCCTATGAATGTCCAACACTATTAGGAAGCCCCGATTCAGCGCCTGAGCAGCGTGATCCTGCCTCTGAACGTCTTCTCAGACCGAGAGTTTTGTGTTTCCTGCGTGAAACACATAGTATCGATATCTTCAAGGTCAGTGACTGGGAGAAAGAACATGGAGACACCAAGACACTGCAGTATATTTTTGTTGCGTACACAACAACACAATTCTCGCATGACGAGGAGAGCGACGACATGGAAGTTCTACATTCTATTGCGGAGACGGCGGCTCGTCGTGCTGGGGTTCAGGCTTATTGGCTCGCATGTAGCTGCATGCCTGACGACAAACACCTGGCGGACGACCTATATTGTATTAGCGATGTAGTACGTGGCGCACATTCACTCGTCATCGCTCTTGGACCACCCGTTGAAGGCCGTGGATCTCGGATTTACACCACGCGAGAGCTTCTTAAAGAGTGGGGTCGGCGAATGTGGACCTTCCCCGAGGTTCTTCTATCGCCAAATACGCATCCGATATCGATTTACACCCGCGGTGCATCTGAGGAAGAACCTTGGCAGATCCGCAAACGCAACTTCCCTGCAGAGGCATGGGTTGACGCCTCAAACTCACGCGAATTGGTCGACCATTACGAAGGCTCCATCATATTGAGTCCCCTTGAGCTTGTGACGATTGCATTCCAGTGCTTATCGACTAGGCCCTTAAAAGAAAAGAGCGAAGCAGATATAGCCTATGTCTTGATGGGACTTCTGAGACGCAGGCCCAGAGTCGATTTTGACAACAGCGCCTTTCAGGCTTTCTCCCGCCTTTCAATGAGTAATGATAGCGATCAATTGCTTGAAAGGCTTATATGTCTACATCCCAAATCAACCAAGGAGAAATGGTATGTCGTCGACGACATATGGGACCGCAATTTATGGGATGTTGACCCATTCTGTCAAGTCGTCGGTGTCTGCTCAGGAGATTCGGTTGTTCTCAGTGGTGCATTTGGAGCCTCTATTCGATGGAAATCATTCAAGTCTGTGAGCCTGACCCATAGGAACACAGTTGGAAGGTTTATCTCAAAATTCGCTCTGCGTGCCGCACCCTTGTGGTTAATCGCTTCAGTAAGCTTACTGGCGGTCAGTCCAAAGTACAGGACGGAAAACGAAGATGGGAGTTTCAGTGCCACCTCGGCATCTCAAGCGTGCCAAGTGGCCGGCTTTTCTTTTATGGGCATCACTATTATTCTTGTCGCTCTTTCTCCCTTGATGATATACTCTCTTTACGCAGGAAAAACTTGGTCTGCTCAACCCTGGCTCTTCGGATTCGAAGGCTACCTGCCCATCCACGAGATTGAAGCCCTTGTTCTTGGAGTCAATATGAACCGCTTAACGTGGACTCCTTACAGCAGTCAGCTGTCGCGCCACTGTATGGTCGACGGAGAGTGCATTGGTAGAGACCCTACGGAAGACCTGGAAGTCAAGAATATAGTGAATTTCAGTGCTTATGCTAGGTACGAGGAACCAAAGGTTTTCACGTTAGTCGACACGTTTACAATGAAGGTAACGCTATTTCAAGCCGTGAGGCCGCCGGTGGCTCTACTGCTCTGCGGAAGCGAGGGTGGTATGCACCGCGGCCTACTCTGCTCTTATGACTGGCCCACACAAACACTCACTCGGGAGACCGTACTACGAGTCGACACTCGGACGCTTGACAAAATGGCCCGGGTTGGACGAGTTCGCATCGGACTGGAGAAGATTTCGCCTGATACTTCACCAATGTATACGTTCGTGAACAATGATGCGAATCCAGCCTGAAGATTTCCTGTACGATTATATGATCTAAGCGTGATCCATACAATGGATGAATAAAATTCACTCCTCTCTCTGGCAAACCTTGTTATCAGGAGGATTTGTGATTTTAAATTACGACAATATGGATTTTAGGGCATCACTGAAAGGACCTCAATGTTGAGCGTTCGGACCCTACCTACGCTCACTAAAGCCGATTAGGTCTCATGCAGTAATTGTATTTCTAATGCATCAATTTCTCGGCAATGCCCCCAGAATCGGCGGTCATGGATCCGAGGTACTTCTAATTATGCAAAGGACGTGCTCCGCATTATAGGTCCACAGCAAGTCAAAGACACAGAGATTGCACTTAAGATCATGAATGAAGGTAGAGATTTCTAGTCCAAATAAACATAGCTGTGCTAAATGAATGCTTCAGTTGCTATCACTCTCTCCCATGTCGATACGGAAGTTCGAAAGATAAGAGAAACAATGGATAGTACATCCCGACTAAAAGTCCTTAACTGGCTTAGCCCCATCGACCACGAAAACCAACAAAGTGACGCCTTTTCTCAATGTCAAAGCGGCACGGGAAAATGGTTCCTGGAGTCTGAAGAGTTCAAACGATTGCTTCGAGAGCCCAAAGAAGCATTGCTCTGTCAAGGCATACCGGGAGCGGGAAAAACAGTCATGGCATCCATTGTTATCAACCACCTGCAGGGAGAATTCCCTCAACGAGATATTGGAATTGCCTATGTATTTTGCAGTTTCCGTCAACACAATGAGCAGACGCTAGAGGATCTCTTATCCGGCTTCCTAAAACAGCTCGCTCAACAGCAACCCGAGGTTCCCGGGTGTATCACTACAGCATATGGACAATTCATTGCCCGGGGCATTCTTCCATCGGTTGAAAAGCTTATAGAACTTCTAATTAGCGTCATCAATTCCTACGGAAAGGTATTCATGGTTCTGGATGCTCTTGACGAGATAAATGCTTCCGATGGAACAACCAGATCGTTAATTGCTACGCTTTTCGAAATTCAGAAGGAGGCACCCATCAGTTTCCTCGCAACCTCCCGCCACGCTGCTATTGCCAATATACTAAGTGTCTTCCGAAGCAATGAAAGCCAGTTCCTCGACATACGTGCATCGGATGAAGACGTTCGCACTTACATCGACGGACAACTCGACACCCTTCGAGCCGTTCCTTCAAAAGACTCCAAGATGAGAGAGAGCATCAAAGATACTATTGTAAAATCAGTGGATGGAATATAAGATACACCACCTAGGTACTGCCTAGGCGTCATTGGAACGAATGTTCACTAATATCTTATAGGTTCCTACTTGCCCATTTCCACATAGACCTTTTGAGAGACAAGATCACCCGCCGCCAGGTCAACGACGCGTTAGTATCACTACCGAGCGGATCTGATGTTTACGACCAAGTATATCGGGAGGCATTAGCACGAATTCAGGCGCAGAGCGACAATCTAAAAGACCTAGCTTTACGGGCCCTAGAGTGGATCGTCTATGCCAAAAAGCCTCTAACTACATATCAGTTACAACATGGCCTTTCGGTGAAAGATGCTGATACTGTTTTTGACGAGGACAGTGTTCCCGCAGTCGATCTGATAATCGAAGTCTGCTCAGGACTAGTGACGGTAGATAAGAAAAGTGGCATCATTCGATTGATTCACTTTACCGCACAGGAGTTCTTTGGAAGGAACTACAAAGTGCTGAATAATAGCAGAACATCATTGGATCATACCGATTCCCCTAAAACGCTCGGCATCTTGGCATCTGCATATAACTCTAACTGGAAGCATTATACCTAGTGGCTTATGTGATACCCAGTATAAGGGCAGCTAAGAGTCATCGGTGGCGACACTAGCACTTGCACTTGCTTGTGAGGTTGTCCGTTTAACGACCGCCTTAGATGGCTCATTTCCAATCAGCGATATTATGATAGATTCGATTTCTATACTAACGAGATTTCTCTACGCCCCTATCCGTATCACTTGTAAAAAGGAGGCCTTTCCTGCTATAGACTATCGTATTAAGTACGCCTGCACTTTCTTACCATGGCACCAACCGATTTTCCAACGCGGAAAAGAGGACGACCGCGAACATATATATCTGCTAAGGAAAAGCAAGCATCGAATGTCATACGACGGCGGAACCACCGACAGTCCACCCGCGCTGTGCATCGAGCCCAGCAATTCGATCAGCACTATGCTCCTACAGTGCCTCTGTCTCTTGATATCAATGAACCTCCATCGACCCATTTTCCTCCAGGAGAACTCTCGATCGCTACTGAGGTAGAGCAACTTCTACCGCCTCTCAGCCCCAACCTTAGGTCATGGGAACCATCGGTGCCTCATATCCCACCGATCGATAACGTGTCGTTCGAACTCACGAGTGATCTCGCCCACGATGCTACTACAGCGATATCGCCGGACAATCTACAAGAAGGGAGGAATGGAGCCGGTTCTATTCGAGCAGCGACTGAAAGCCCGGTCCAAGCGACCGAGTCGTTCGCGCTTTTAGCTCCTGAGCAATCGGACAGCGTTACAACCAGCGCAGCAAGTGATATCTATAAATTAGCCCGGCTTCTCACGGACCAACTCCAACAACACCATGGCTGCTGCCAACAGTGCCATACGCAGCAGCAGAGTGAACATCAAATGCAGCATACGGAGCATCTCGGCCTCGGAGAGTACATGCACCGGATTCAGGCAGATAGGGGATACCCGGATGTTCTCAGTACCGCGACAATGGCTAGATGGGAGGACAACCTCGCAGGTCAGACCAGCGCCGACCGAAAACGGGAGATCTATACCGGGATCCATTCCACCACGCCTAACGCTCGGCCAGTCCACCTCTGCCTTGCTGCTGACCATAAGCTAGAACGCCCGACCGCGGTGACTTTTGATATCGATAGTGTTGTGGGATTTGCGCACAGCCTCGCAGTGGCTAAACTCGGAGTGCGGTGGAACTCGACTCAGATGCCTGTCTCAGGTCTTCGTTCGGGCCTGCACCTTGATCCTCTTCCTGTACACTATATTGGAAGCAATGGTCGCGCTCATCACGTCCATCGGCCGGTACATAAGATTCCACATTATACGTTCGGGCGCTTGGTCGGATTTGAGGACATATCTCTTTGCTTCCTATTCCCACGGCTATATCGAGGAGAGCAGCAATGTAGCCGCCTCCGTGATGATGATTTTCGGGTCTGGATGGACCAGATCCTCCTCCCTGCAATCTACCGCCATCACGACGGTTCGCTTGTCCAGCATTATCCTTCTAGCTTTGACCACAGCCGGCTGAATGCTACAGCCCGGGGTGTTGAGATGCGCTCGCAGCGAGTGGATCCCGTCGCTCGGGAGCAGCTTCTCTTCTATTTCCTCCCACCAGATACACTCTCGCTTGTGTGGGCGAGTATTCTCGAGACTATCGAGAGCGCTGGACCCCAGCAATTCTCGGACGTGACCATCCTAGTCCAAGGCAAAAACCTGAAGACATTGACCAAAGCGAATACGTGGGACAGTATGATGCAGGAGTTTGCCCAGCATTGGGGTAACACGATCGACGAGTCTCATCTCTCCAATCAGTTCTATATCGATCTTGGGAAAGAGACCTGCCCTGCTGGGCGCTCACAGGTTGGCGGTGGGAGACTCGACGCATCAAGGCACCGTTCGGACGGAGAGCCCCGTGCAAACCAACTGGTGCCACAGACCATCCTCTGGCGGCGATGCTGCTTAGAGTCATATGCTGAGTGGATTGGGCAGCAGCATCCTCCGGAGATCCCACGTCCAAAGCAACAGTTTTATCCGATCAGCCTGCTCCACGATACTGGCAGCCTCACATTAGAAACTCGTCGATCCTCCCCGCAGCGGCAGGCAGGTCTTCTCTATACGCAGCTTTATTCGAGCGTAAAGGAGGTTTTTGCGGCAGGGGATGTATACCCATTTTCGAACCCGGCCCTAGAAACATTGGCACTAGATCCTCAGCTACGCAAGACCTGGCAGCAAGTCGGGGGCGGTCTCAGTCACGACCCCGTCGCGTTAATGCGGGCTTATCTGAACATGAAGCAGCGGTGCCATGCTGCCCTGCAAGGATCACATCTCAAGGTCTTCGGGCTTCGCGAGGAACACCGCGTTTCACTACGCCTGTTCTATATGATCGACCAGGAGCTTCGCGAGCGAAATTCACATAACACGCGACTTCCGGGAGTTCCATCTCCGGTTGAGCCGTTCTACTCCCTCCCCACCTCGACCCTTCTCTTTTGGTTCCACTGGAACATCAACAAATTCTGCGTGGGGTTTGAGACTGTCTATAGCATCTGTTGGTATCACCAGCTAGGTACTGTGTACACAGTTAAGTGGACAGTGGTTATGCTTCCAAAGCAAAAGTCAATTTGATTCATGTAAAAATAGATGTTCTTTCTTCAAGGTCATCTCAGGTTCCAAGATACCCCTTAATCCCATGCACGGACACTCGGCGGTCACAACACCGGAGCCGCAGCTCCGCGCAAGAATGCGTACACCAAGAATGGGACGTTATGTCCCGACAGCATCAATGACCGCCATTTTGTTACGTGGGAACATACTCGGGTTATGATGATGTTTTTGCGCTGCCTACAATTTTCCTATACAGGTGGCCTTCTACAGCGTGTATCTGGATGCTGGCGGGACGTCTGGTTCCAGCCAGATATTCGACAGGCGGACGGCCTTCGCCGGTGTGAAGGTCTGGGGTTCCAGAGGACTATGTCCGAGTACGGATATGCCTGGTTCCTGGATAAGCTCAACTGGGATACGATGACCTTCCGGCAACCGTCCGCGCAATATATGAAGTTCAACAGCCCTTCGATGCAGGCGGCGTTCCACGCACGGTATGCGCAGATCCGAGACGTCCGTCTAGACTTCCTACGGGTGCACCAGGCCCACCGCTGGATGGAAGAATTTAGCTCAATCCCTCCCTGCCTCGATCTTGTCGAGGAGTTCCTACGACAACTGTCTCTCTGTGTGTTTCGTAAGGATGTGTTTCTGCAGGTCAAACGACTTTTACATCCAGACCATGCTTCTCGTGCTCTATCCCACGGGGGGTGGCCCAGTCTATTAGACTGGGAATTAGGGTTGCCGCTTAACTACTAGGGTTTTAGGGACATAAAAAGTGGGTTAGGGTTAGACTGGGAATTAATTTCCTCGTTAGACTGGAGAGGTCTAATGACCTCCGATGGCTCTTAAATTTTGGTCAGTTATAATAGACCATCCAATTTATCTCCGATTCACTTCGGAGCATGCGCAGTCTCCTAGTTATCGAGAAAATGGCGATTGAAAGTTAAAGATGTTTTGTTGGGGTACGGGATTTTGTACCTTTACAGCGTACGTTTACTACCAAAGACGCTACCACAGGACTGTAGACGAATCCAATTACTTCGATAATGCTAGTGTATAATGATCAAGAGGGGTAGCAATTAACTCAGGGGTTTAGATACTCCCCAGCTATCATCTCACGTTTTTTTACACCATTTCACCCCAAAGTCAGCATTAGACATTCGTCAAATTTCGTGCAATTCATTATATCACGATATATATAGGGGACCGGTAATTCAACACCCCTTTGCGTAACGTAATCCACATGCGAGCTGGCCACACAAGCGAGCCGGCCACCTACCCTCGATGTATTACATTTAAATGCTTTCATCTCACCACAACGCTATTAAATTGAGTAATAAATCTAACTAGACCTATCTGGACATGCATTTCTTTTATGCCCCTGAATTCCACATAAGCCGCATTTTGGTAAGGCCCTCGTTCGGGGCTGTAAAGGCCCTGAAACCTGCTCACGAACCTGGGCTATACGGGCTATTTGGGACTCAATTGGCTCCGACCGTAGCTCACGAACCTCTTGGACGGAGATACTACCTTCGTGAGCTATCCACCTAGTAGACCGAGTCCTTTTTTGCTTCTGCGTCTCGTTGGCGGCACGCAAATCGCGTACTTCTTTCTCGAGAAAAGCTGTCGATTGCATCGTAATTTGACAAGCCTTTAAAACCTGATTAATCGCGGAATTAAGCGGACTCGGTGGGCTTCTTAAGCGCTGCTTTAATAAAGCTTTAATTGAGGATGCTTGCTTTTGTAATTGCATGTAGTTCGAAGGCGTTTTTGGCTCCCACTCGCTACCCCGGCTTGAGGGGGGTGTTGGGGTATAAAGGCGAATATCGAGCTTCGAGAGCACTCGATCGGGGCCGTAGGGCACTAGACCGGCTGCCGCGAAGCTACTTTTAATTGTCTCGGATTGGAATGTCTCAATTCGAGCGGATGGGTACGCCTCGAGGAAATCTAGCTTATCGATGTGATTGATATTAAGACGCATTTTCGTTTCGACAAGCCGACCGTAAGAGCGCTTTAACAGCGCAAAACAGCCGATATCGAGCGGCTGTAAAAGGTGAGATGAATGCGGAGGCATACAAATTGGAATGATATCATTTTTTTCGCAGATTTGATCGAACTTCGGTGTTAAATGGCTTCCGTGGCCGTCGAGGATCAAAAGTCTATACTTCCCCTTCGTTCGTAAAGAAGTAGACGGAATAAAGAGCTTTTCGAGCCACCGAAGTCCAATTTGGTCGGAAGTCCATCCTTTTGGACTAACCTCGAAGTGCCAATCGTCCGGAAGGCCGTCGAACCAAGACTCGATAAAGACTTTGCCTTTAAAAATGATACACGGAGGTAACGCCCACCCCGAGGCATTTATACATTCAATTGCGGTAACCCACTCGCGATTTCCGGGCTGTAAAAGTAATCGCCGACCGTAGAATTCAGCCCTTGTCACGACTTTTGCGGTAGAAATAATACCTATTGCGAATCCAGTCTCGTCAAAGTTATAGATATCGTCGGGATCGATGCCGTATTGAAGTATAGTCTTTTGGACGAGAGAAAACCAATCTCCGATGATCTTCGGATCCTCGCAATTTACGCGCTCGTAGCTATAGCGTCTTGAGAATCGGGCTAATAGATCGGGATGTCTCTTTACGAAGTTAGAAACCCAATTCTAGCCGACGTGTTAAAGTGTAGTAGTCCCACGCGTCGCGAGTAATAAATCGGCCATTTCTCGTACAGTCGCCGGCCGGGGGGCTGCTCCGCGTAAATCCATAGAAAGAATCCATTTTTTAAGCGATTCCTCTTCAATGTCTGTCAATTTTTGGCAATTTGGGCGGGTTTCGGCGCGGTTCTGATGGCCGCGTAGTCGATCTTGAAGTGTTATACGCGGTATATTAAAACAACGCGCTGCTTCGCGAATTAAAGCAATTTCTTGCTTCTTAATAGCTTGGATAGCTAATAAGACCCTGCCTTCTTGCTCAATTAAATTTCGAGAGGATTGAGTACGAACTGGTGGCATGGTGGGTGGTTGAAGAAGAGAGGTCTAATTACTGGACGCGTTTTACGTTAGGTGGCCGGCTCGCTTGTGTGGCCGGCTCGCGGGAATTGATAGGGACACTCCCACTTTTGTTCCGGACACTCCTAATTATGTAATATCCATGATTAGGTAATTGAAAACGTCATGTGATTGTATTGGTATTCATTCTCCGTATTATTTACATGACCTTCGTGTATGCCCAACTTTACCACATGCAGTGCATTTAAAGGGTGCCCTCTTCCGTTTATTCATAGTCTGGCTGTTGTCTTTCTGCTCCAATTGATCCCACTTCCGCTTTTTAGGCTTTGGAAAAGGAATCAAAGGCTCTAAGAGAGGAAGGTATTCTGATTCCATTTCAGAAAGCCCAGTTCGCCAGAATGGGTGGATATCTGTCAATGGGATAGCTTTATTGCTCTCCAATAAACTAGTAATCCGATGGGCACAAGGAAGACCCATTGTCCTTGTGAACGTATTAGTACAAGGGGGTAAAGGAGCAAGATTTGTAGCTCTTCTAGCCTTTGTAACTTGCTCGCCAATCAGTCGTATCGAATAGCGGGAGGTCCTGATCACAATATTAGTATAAAGTTGATGTAAGGTTACTACTGGCCTCTCAATCTGATCTCGTCTAAAATCATATTCAAGCGTAGCATGCTGGGTTTGTAAAGCCTGTGAAATCCTTTCAAATACGATCAACATATCCCCTGTCGAAGCACCGATGTGCTTTTTAAAAAGGCATGGGAGCCTTCAACTCGAGAGGTCGCAGAATTACCGAGGTGTAGGCATTGTTGTGTCCATGCAACTATAAATTTTTCTTTATGAATTAGCCATGTCTCCTTAACATATCGAAGAGAAGGGGAGGTCTGATATCGCTTCTCGAACTCTGATAGCCTCGAATTGTAGTCGTTCTCTGTAGTAGAATAAATTAGCTGATTCCATGATTTTTGAAATGTTTGATATTCGGCGTTCGTCGTAAAATGCTGCTTCGTATTAGACGTTACGTTCTTGTTAATATGCCAGATGCAAAGAAGATGGGGATAATCTGGACAGACGACCTTGACAGCACCTAATAATGCAAGGTCTCTATCTGTACAAAGAACTGGATAGAAAGAGAGGGGGTCGAGAAATGAGAAAAAAGTCTTTAAAGCCCAAATATAGCTCTCTTCCTGTTCATTCTGCATAAAGCAAAATGCAACACTAAAGGTTGAATTTGATGGCGAGACACCAATAATATGCAATAGAGGCATACGATATCGGTTTGTCTTATAGGTGCAGTCTAGGACGAATACCCTGTTGTATAGGTTAGCATACTTGATTGACTCTGGGTGTGCAAACATAAAAAAGAGGACATGTCCTTCGCTATCCTGCTTAATAGCATATTTCCAGTGATTTTCCTTCAAAGTCTTCAGTAGAAACTCAAGGGGAGTACTATTACCGAGCTTTTGCCTTCGTAAAGCACTTCGCGCATTGTAGATGTCTCGAGGGGTAACTAAAGCATTAGGATGCTCTCGTTTGATTAGAGCTAGGATGCCACGAGGGTTAGATCCAATTTCCGATAGATGTAGGACCTTTTGAAGCTGCTCCTCTGTGAGCCGACGGGCAGCTGAATGTCCGATCATATTATCATCAGCTGTGTGATTATGATTCCGGTTTTGGACCTGTAACTCCCACTTATCATCAAAAAGCATTTTCCCGTATAGCTTAAATGGACAGCCAATCCGCCGTGTAGTTGTCGTTCTTCGTTTCGCTCCATCAGGAGCATTCACTCGGTCACGATACGTGCCACCACGGTCACAACCAAGATAGATGTACTTATCTGTGATTGATCGTATAGTAGTGACAGCGTAACCTTGCGAGAGAGCATGCTGACGGACAGAGGCAATTAATAAATCTCTGCTATCAAAAATTTGCTCAGTAGGGGGCTCCATTTCTGAAAAATCCGAGAGGCAGAGATTTGAGGAGCTAAGAAAAGAGGGAGGCGAGAGCTGGGGATTTATACTATACTATGGTATGACATTTAGAATGATGTTGCTGTGGTAATTCCAATACAATCACATGACGTTTTCAATTACCTAATCATGGATATTACATAATTAGGAGTGTCCGGAACAAAAGTGGGAGTGTCCCTATCAATTCCCGGATATTTCAACAGGGCTGATATAATTGAAGTGTTATGACTCGTCGTACGTCCTGAAGTTGGGTTTATACCCCGGTCGCAACCCTAACTGACCCAGTTCCCGTACCCCATCAAAACATCTCCGATTTTCAATCGCTATTTTCTCAATAACTAGCAGGCTAAGCATTCTCCGAAGCGAATGGGGTATATTTTAGATAGTCTATTATAACTTGCTAAAATCTGAGACCGATTGAAGGACTCTAGACCTTAGCAGTCAGCTCGGGAAGTTCACCTGCAGTCAGGTCGGACCCACTTTTTCGCTCCCATAGTTAAGACAAAACCCTAGCCTGCAGTCTGCCCTGACTGCAGCACCCCCCATGGGATAGGGCCGGTTAACGTCTGGACAGAGCAAAGCAAGAGTCAAAATCTTGACAAGGTGGCTCCAGTACCGCCTCGCCGCTTCTCACCCCTTAATATTCTAACAGTGCTATCGTCCCTCCTTGCACTTGGGGCGTTTGTTTGGGCACTTATACTCCAGGATGGGGTAGCAGTTCTGGCCCTCATAGCCACAGCATCATCTTCAACTCTGATTGGGATTGCATGCCGCTGGAAACCAGAGCTAGCTAAACGCCCGACAGACGTCGTAGTCCCAAATGCGGCCGTCATAATTAAAACGCGCGATGGTGCCTTTGTAATCATTCAATGCACTGAAGAGATCGCCCGTGAACTCTTTATAGGCCCAGAAAAATGCGACTATCTTGTCAGTGGCCAATGGTTCAGGGTGTTAGTTGGTATATCACTGTCTCTTATCACGGTATCGGTCATACGTTTGGGAAACTGCAGTTGGACAATGCAAGCTGTTATCGCCGTGATATACATAGTATTGAATGTCCTCTACTGGATAGCATCTTTACTTCCGCAAAAGCTGCTTTGGGACCTATCGCGGTACAAATGCGATATGGTCACGCCGGAGCATTTGAAATTTGCAGACCAAGTTATGGAAGGCGAACCTGAACCTGCACCCAGCTATACACGAAGCCTATGGTTTGCAATTCAAGCTACCAGGGAAATCAACTGGGTTATGGTTAGTGGAGCGGCCCCGAAGACGACAGCGTGGGACACCTGGCTCAAACTAGCCCACGATAATTGCAAAGATGCCAAATGGGATGCCATTGGTGAAAAGAACCAGCTGATGAAAGAAGAAGCGCGCAAAACTTCTCGGTCAACAATAGTATCAGTCTCTGCGCGAGAAGAGTGCTTAATGAGTGAGACAATGTGTACATACATTGTGATCTGTGGGAAATATAGTATGGTTTAAGTCATTAGCGGCCCTTGTCCCACTGTCCCACTGTGTGGTATTTACTAAAATATTATGCTTCATATCCTACTAGTAGGTGAGGTCGATGGAAAGAATCATATCATTCAAGGTTATTTCCAACGTTATATCCGGGTATAGCTTTAGGAACATACAATCAGAATGGATGGAAGGAGACAGCCATCTCATCTCGAGCATCTCTGGTCTGGGGGTCTCCATCCAATGCCCAGTTTCTCTATTGTAGTTTCTCCCGCTCTTCCCATGTCTCCCCGCCCTGTTCAAGGTCCATAACCTGACCCCCAGAAGTCTGCCCGCGTACACCACTAGAATCAAATTTCCAACTGTGGGCCTTCTTCACATGACGCCGTAAGTCGCGCTGGAAAGTTGTAGCATCTGTCCATCCAAGAACTGCATAGCCAACAGTATGCCATGGTGATGTGATAATATCGACTCGGCGATGAGGATTTGGATTTTTCTGATATTTGGGCTATGATTCGTTGGGTTTAGTGCCCTTGCCGCCCTACCACTTCAGTCCCTTTAGCCCCGCACCTGAACGCCCTGAACGGGTGACGTGTTCCCTCGGTTAAACCTGCCACGTCTCGATGCCTTCTCTGCACCACTACTGCAACCCCTGTTTTAGTCAGCTTTGGTCGTGTACCTGCCATCCACCCCCTGATTCGCTGACACTGGGAAATAAACATATAAGGTAGTTATCACCACGACCTGGTTCGGTCTTGGACCTCTTGTCTAGGATGTTCAAATTCTTTATTTTTGGCCGCCCTAGGCTGGTACTTACGGGCACGATAATATCCCTATGAGCCTCCTGCTGTGGTGCCCGGTCTGTTGACCCCCTGTCACCCGCTAGTTGGTTAGGCAGCACCAGTCAGTAGACACGTTACAAATCACGTCGTCTATCTGACGGGCTACGACCGTCAGCAATGAGTCATCTTCTCCTGCGTCAGTCTCTTAGACACACCTGAGGTATTTGCCCCAGTCTGTTTTGGCCAAGGAATTCTCTGAGAGTTTGGTTGAACTGCCCAACTTTCTACAGCCCCGTCTAGATCTTCTGCGATTTCCAATCCGATATGCCAATTGACAGCAAAGGATGTGGTATGCTGTGTGAAGCCTGCCAGAAAATCTTTCGCGGGCAGCAGATCCTGAGTACCTTTTCGAAGACATCTGACGACCAGTCGTCTGATTGGAACCCCCAGGCACATCACCCCTCTCTGCAGTCCTTTCTCAATGCCTCGGACTCGGGTTGCCCCGTCTGTTATGAGTTTCGGTCTTCAATAGGGGAAAACCGCCTAGAGATATTCTCAGATTCTTCCACGTCGGACGAGTTCTCGTATTGGACACTTCAACAAGAAGGTGGTGGATATGACCTGAGCCTTGAGCTTGATGACGACTACGCCAAGCTCATCGAAGAGCGCTTGGACCTGCGCCTCGAAGTTCTTCCACTTCAAAGTATGTTGATCGAGAAAATGTCTTCTGGGTTTGGTAGAGCTACTTATAACACTTTCTTAGTCTATGATGGACCGACGGAAAATAACTCCCTGCTTGTAGGTGATAGTACCGCTTCAGACGCAGCATTTACTCAAGCATTCAAATGGTACAAAGAATGTCTTTCCATGCATACTGCGTGTAATTCCAGTAGCCATTACCTGCCTTCAAGACTCCTCAGTCTCTCTGAGAACGACGCAGGGACTATTAGGCTGGTTATTACGGAGACCGAAAGAAAGGTAATAGATTGCTACGCAACACTCAGCCACTCTTGGGGCGATTCAAACATCATCACTCTTCTGTCTTCAACGCTTGATTCGTTCAAGCAGAACATCTCTCTCGAGTTACTGCCAAAAACCTTTATAGAGGCAATTGCCGTCTGCCGCCGGTTTTCAATATCTTATCTATGGATTGACTCGCTCTGCATCATCCAAGACTCTGTAGCCGATTGGCGCGCCGAAGCCGCGTCGATGGAAGGCGTCTACAGCAGCAGCAGGCTCAATATCATGGCCACCGCTTCTCGAAACAGCCACGACGGGCTCTTCCGATCACGCGACCCGAGACATCTCGCACTGTGCATCGTCGAGTCGGAATGGACTGATGCCGGGAATGACCGATTCAGTATAGTGCAAGACGATATGTGGCAGATTGAGATGACGGACGCGCCTCTAAACCAGCGAGGCTGGGTCCTCCAGGAACGCATCCTACCGCCGCGCGCCCTTCACTATGGCCAGAAACAGCTACTCTGGGAATGCAGAGAGCTAGACGCATGCGAGAAATATCCAACAGGTCTGCCAAAAGCCTTGCGTAATATCCACACGGGAGTCAAGATCACCGATCCAGTGGCCAACCGACTTTACGAACACGGCTGGAAATCCAGAGATAGGGACAGTGTTGACAAAGAGAAACGCCTGGAGACGGTGATAGACTATGCGTACGAGCTTTGGAGTCGCTGGATCTACACGTACAGCAGCATGCGGTTCACTCGGTACTCAGATCGGCTGATCGCTTTCAGCGGGCTCGCTAGTCGCATGCGGGCCATCCTCCGAGACGAATATGTCGCAGGATTATGGCGGTCCAGGCTCATCGACGAGCTGCTGTGGTTTACCTTCGGCAATGGCTCGATCGAGTACGAGCTCAGGCCTTACCGGCCGCCCGACGGCGGTGCACCTAGCTGGTCATGGGCGTCTCTCACCGGAGAAGTCGTCACTAGCAAGGTCGATCAGTTTACCAGCAAGGTCTACCACCTTGATCTGAAAGCGGTCAATGTGACGCCGGTTTCCGGGAGAGAAGACGATGCTAACAACAATAATACAAGCGCCATATTGGACGGCCAGATCCGGATAAAAGGATTTCTCAAGCGAGCAACCCTACTCAAAAACGTATATCACATGCCAGAAGAAGATTATGAGGCTCCTGCGACGATTTACAGTGTTGAGGTTGATGGGATACAACCATTCGACACATTTGTCGACGAGCCCATGGCAAATCGGGACACAATGGGGATTGTCGTCCTCCCTGTGCTTACAAATTTGAAGGACTCGGATTCGGATTCGAAGAACAAAGAACTGCATGCATTGCTGCTTCGGAGGCCAGCCGGATTGCCTAGAGGGTTCTATGCGAGGGTAGGCTATGTGTCCGGACCAGAAAAGGAGTTCTCTGGCAGCCAGTTGGGTGACTTTTTTTACAACTACCAGACTGCTACCCCCGCGCAAGGAAAGGGAAGAGGCGGTACGGTGTTTCGAAATGCGCTGCGAAAGCTGGTCCGGGTAAAAGAGCCGAGTGGATCAGGAGACTCATGGCCAAAGCTGGGGGACGAAAAGCTGTATCTTCCAGGTGCCTATGGGGAGTTCATCCTTGTTTAAAGATCGTCTGAAAGAAGAGCTTACAGCTCAGACTTGAGTGTTGGCAGCATTGAGGGTTGACCAAGATTATGGTAATCTTGCGTATTTGCGAAGTTTCCTATAATTGAACCTTGGAAGCTTTCTACTTTGCGAGTGCATAGGATCATAGAAAAAACATGATTTCTCATCCTCAGCGGTTGTTAGGTCGCATGACGGCTAGCGAGTCGCGGCGGATCCAACCCACTTAGGAGAGGGAGAGTCTTGGTTACAGAGTAGTAATTCATTGTTTGTCTGTGTCCATCAAATCCTTGTTAGTAAAATGCCGAATAGTGCCTGGAATGGGAGAGAGATTTATGGCTTTCTCGCTGTTGAAACTTGGGATGTCTAATGGTAGGAGATGAATAAAGCATGCAAACAGTCTATTCCAGAGAGGTGTTTAAGTCTGATCTTCCATAGTATGAAAGATCTGCTATATATACGGTCGCACTAGTACTGAGCTGGGAGGTGTCAATATTGACCTAAAGAGATGTGAGGCCTGGATCTTGCATCCATCTCAACACTCGCTAAACCGCCTGAGAGAAGATGATAAACTACGGAGCTCAGTTGTAGATTGAGTATTTACAGATTTTCAGTGCTTTCAGTGTCTAGTGTAAATAACAAGCTGCATGTAATGTACAGTCGGATGGATGGATGATATCATTTACCCTGACCTCTCGCTTTTAGTTGGATTATAAACCATATCCCACTAGTCTGGGTGCGGATTCGTATTTTAGTCTAGTTGGGAAATCAACTAATTAAGCGATATACAGGCTACCACTATTGTGTAAATACATGATTGTGTGTTCCAATGAGATTGTTCCAAAACTTCCTGAACGGTGAACATTGAGCCTCACCTGGTAAGGCCTGTCGTGGCCTTTCTGCCGTTTGCGGTATTAGGCTGCCCTCATGGCGCGGCTGTGGGAAATGTACGAGTGAGACGGACAGCAAGCGTCCGATTTTCGCTGCATCTCTGTTAGGAACCGCGAGAAGGCGGGCAAAGCAGAGGCTAAGAATCTGGACAGTGATTGTGTGACAGATGCGGTTTTGTTCCGAGTTCGTTTGATTGAGCGTTGGCTTGTCTTATTCTCGAACTGGAACGGTGACGGTTTATTGTGAAAGCGGAGGTGAAGATCTTCAATTGTGAGTATGGGGTTGGCGGGAAGAAAAGGTTCTTGCACTGGAGGAGTCGGTTGCGGTATGGATGTGACAGGTCGCTGGAGGACGGAAGCATAGGTTGTTTGTCGGTTTTGGGGCGAGGAAGTGATGGACGGTATCGTTTGATGAAGCTGGGGAGATTGGGTTGTTGGAGGTTGTTGAGGCTCTGGGTATATTATGGCGGGTAGCGGATTGAAACGGCAGTCCAGGTTGGTGTTTTTTGTACTGGAGTCGTCTGTAGTTTGTGTACTGGAATCGGCGGTAGGAGTTGACCGTTTAGGGGAGGAGAATGCGGTGGTTGAGGAGGGGGTTTGTTGTGAGTTCCGAGGTGGTGTTTCAAATCGCACGAGATTATCTGCCATATGCAGTCTTCCTCATGTAGCTGTTGCACTTCCTCGAACGGGGTGCATTGGAAGGTGGATAAGTGCTTGGTCGATTGGCAGGCAAAACAGCATGCCACGTTGCTGACTCCTGAAGGTCGGTAATAGAAGCCATTCTGGGCCAGTTGGAGCAGAGTGGCCCCAGCAAGCACTATTCCTTTGAACGAACGAGCTCGGGCTGTGATGGTGGAGTAATCTTAGGTGATTGAGACGAGAAAGTAATCCTCCTCATCGTGAGAATCATCCTCGACGTGAGAATCGTCCTCATCATGAGAATCATCCTCGGCGAGAGAAAAGTCCTCAACGTTGGGGTATTCGGGTGAGATTGTGGGGTTTGCGGCTTCGGGGGTGGGAGATGTGCGACGGGTTGGGGGTTTGGAAGCTGGGGGTTCAGCCTCACCCGCTGGCTTCTCGTGGTCATCCCCATGGTCCAGGTTAAGGGTACAGTCTTATGTTCCATTCGACTTCATACAGACGCGCTCGAAATCCTACTGCATTGTATACAGTGCGTAATGTACAGTCGTTCTCGAAATCGGCTTGACCATCACACTAATCACTATGTTCGCGACCCACCGCCCAGGCTTAGCGTCGTCGGTTTATTGAACAGCCAGCAACAAATTGAACCGTCCAACACGCAGATTTATGGCGCATTTTACTTTTAAATTGTATCAACATACATTCCAAGCCATTGCGTTCGAATGATGTGCTTTGGTGACAATGACCATATTCAAATTAAAACTGTTGAAATTATTATTATTATTACGCGGAACACAATTTATGGTTCCATACAGGTACTACAGCACCACTACCAGAACCTAGCCCTATCAACCAAGGGTTTGATCGTGTAATTGTGCTCAAAACTCGAAGCAATTACAACCGGACATTCTGCGGGGCAGCCAATGCGTCTAACCTAAGATGGCTAGATCACACACGTGACAGATCACACACCAATAGATGATGTCTCTTCATTCAAAGCCTCCCTCGCTAAGCAGTCTCGCGGCGAACAAGCAGAGGAGCTGGCGCTTCAGGTTCTTGGCGCGTTTCTTTCATCAATCGATCCTTTTCAGCAACCGCATTCCAACTCGGGTTGCGGCAGTTCTCATGTGCCAGTCTCAGCCACGTCTCCCACGCGGTCGTGCTGGGGGCTGCTCCACTAACTGTCACCCATTCGACTTGTCGAGTGGCTTGAATTGCAAGCCACAAGCTTTGTGTATAGTTTGGTGTTGGTTTATTCTTTTCGTCTTCATTTGCAGCTTCCAAGCACTTCAGTCCGACTGGGGTGCACTTATACCGTGATAAATCCCAAAGCAGCCTTTGCGGAACTAAGGAAGCTATCCAGTATAGGACATTCAATACCATATACAGTCAACTCTCGCTTATACCACGGTGGGATATTGCACATTCTTGATAATAACACATCCCTTGCTTGGATGGCCCCTTCATTCCAGTTTTTTCCATATAAATTGACAGAATATAACACATTTTGTTTTACCACACTTTCTTCCTCTCAAATCTGCTTAGTCAGCGCAATCAACCAATCAGAATGCCTCAATCTACAAGCTCTCCTACCCTCCCGACCCCACCCAAGCGCGTCAGAATGGGACCAAAGCGTACCAAATTGGGTATATCAGACGCGCAGAAACAGGCACTACGGGCATTTTGGTCTAATACTAGCCCAAAGCCCACGCAGACTGCATGTGCTAAGTGGTTTGAGGACCAATTCAAACAAGTGATTGACCGGTCAACCATATCAAGGATCCTTTCATCCAAATACAATTATCTTGATACGGGCCCTGCAGGGGCAAACAAACGATCTTCATCCTCTCATTGGCCATTATTGGACCAAAAGCTATATGACTGGGCAGATAACCATATTGGCAATGGAATACCAATAAATGGCCCTTTGATCCAAACTAAAGCAGCTGAGCTTTGGAGACAAATACCGGAATACAAAGATCGGACCAAACCTCAATTCTCTGAGGGTTGGTTAACTCGCTTCAAACAACGCCACTCTCTTCAATATCATACTTTCCACGGAGAAGCTGCCTCAGTCCCATCCTCGGTACATGATCAGATCAAAAGCACCAAATCGATTTGCAATCAATTCAAACCGTCCGAAATCTACAATATGGATGAAACTGGCCTATTTTGGCGACGTATGCCAAATGGTGGTCTTTCAAAGGGAAAAATTGCTGGCAAAAAGCTTGATAAAACACGAATCACTATTGTTGTTGCATCAAATGCGGATGGTTCCGATCGAGTCCCTTTATGGTTGATTGGCACAGCAAAAACCCCTCGCGCACTCCGGGGGTTAATTTCCGAGCTCTGGGATGTGTTTGGCGTCACAACAAGGCAGCATGGATGCGTCATGACATTATGGAGGACTGGTTGCGATCTTTCTATGGGCGTATTCCCTTAGATAAGAAAGCTTTGCTCCTTTTAGACAATGCTTCACCACATGTTATTGGACTCCAGCGAGCGCCACCACCACCCCGGATTACGGTTGTTTTTTTGCCAGCAAACGCAACTTCAATTTATCAACCCTTGGACCAAGGTATTATCCAAAACTTGAAGCACCATTATCGGAAGAAATGGATGCGCTATATGATTGCTTTTCTTGATCGTGGGATAGACCCAAAACAAAGAATGAGCATTTATTATACTGTTACCTGGGTAACGCAAGTTTGGAGAACAAGTGTATCAGACCAAACGATTATCAATTGCTTTAAACAAAGTACTTTGATTAGTCCAAAGTCTATACCTATACCTGAGTCCGCGCCCGAGTCCGCACCTGAGTCTGCACTATTTTCCGAGCCCGGATTGAGTGATGAGATTGAAAGTCTATATAATCAAGCAATTGATAAGCTTGGTGATAAAGATATTGTGCCATTTGACGAGTTTTTGAACCCTTCGGACGAAGACATGTTAGAAGATGGGACTGAAGGGCGAGATGAGACCAATGAGCAAGATATATATATTGCCCCAACAACCTCAGAAATTCAGGATATTGACATTGATGGGCCCCCACCTGAGCTTCTGTCTAATTCTGCTATATTGGACAGCCTCCAGGATATCCTACTATGGGTTTGTAGCAAAGAAAAGGGTACCTCGGACCATATTAGACAAATTGAGAGCTTAATCAGCGACTTTGGCAGGATTCAGATTGATGAGAAACGTCAGGTGACTTTGGATCAGATGATGGGATGGAAGACTAAATAGGTATTAGGGCTTAACGTGATTCACGGTCTCCCGGGCGACACTGCTGGTCGGGCGGCCCCACCAAAAATGAAAAAACCTTCAATTTTTAAGCATGAATAATACCACAAAAACAACTTAAATTTTGCTATTTAACACGTGTAGGGCATTTAATATACGTATGACCTTTAGTACCACATCCAGAACAGGTGACCTGCCGCCTAACTGTAGGCATAGAGGGTAAAGCAGGTTCTGTAGGTTGTTCTACAGGCATCTCCAGCAAAGATATATCTTTACATACATCCTTCTTCTCAATAACCACATCACTCTGACTGCTCTCCTGACCCCTTAAAATGCCTCTCTGATCAATAAATGTATGTTTGATCACTCGTTTTTTTGTCTGTTTTTTGTTGGTTGCCTCTAATTGTATACAGCGATCTTGGAGGAAAATTTGGCGGTGGACCACTTTTATGGTCATTTCGTAGGTCCTCTTAATCTCCCGTTTAATAGGCGAAGAAAGGATTGAAGAAGAAGATTCTAGACCTTTTTTGATACGAGATTGCGATTTTGAGAATTTCGAGAGAGTCCAGAGAGTATTTGGATCACTATCACTGCCGGAAGAGAGTGGTCGCTGGGAAAGGATCTCAAGAGGAGGAAGTTCATCCAGGTGCACATTCAGTTTTTCCAAGACTTTATCTGGATTAAATGGTGTTAATCCAGTAGCCAAGAAGCTATTCTGGATAGTAGAGGCCGTAAAAGCACCCTTTCTTGCATCTGCAATCAATTCAAGGAAATCTTCCTTATCAATAGAATTGACTCCATTCCGCATCATGGTTGAAACCGCTCCTCCATAAAGCCTCTTCAAAACCGAAAAACAACCCACATCCAAAGGTTGTAAAAGATGAGAGGCATGTGAAGGCATGCAGATTGCAATGATATCATTTTCATCACAAAGTTGGTCAAATTCAGGGGTCAAATGACTACCATGACCATCCAGGACCAAGAGGCAATATTTTCCTACCCTTCTCCCAATATTTGGGATAAAGTAGTATTTTAGCCACCAAATACCAATCTCATTGGTACTCCAGCCATTTTTACTTGTAGTAAGACCAGCTCCTTCTTGATTGTTCAGGAGGGGTTGGCGTAGATGCGCTGGAAAAAGTTTTCCCTTGAAAACAAAGAGTGGAGGATGAACACTTCCATCAGCTCTGATACACTCAATTGAAGTCACCCACTCGCGATTTCCGGCTTGTAAGAGAGCTCTTTTCCCATGGTATTCAGCCGAGGTAATAATCCTCTGTGTCGCGCCAACCCCCATAGCAAAACCAGACTCATCAAAGTTGAAAATATCATCTGAAGTGATACCCCACTTTTCAATAGTATTTTGGACCAAATCAAACCATGGTTTAATAATTCGAGGGTCCTCTGAAAGTGCTCTCTGATAGTCGTATTTTCGAGAGAGTCGACTGGATAAATTCGGGCGTCGTTTGATAAATTGAGTAGGCCAATTGACACCGATAGTGGAGGGGGTATTTTTCTGGGCACTTCGTAGGAGATTGGCCATATCGCGCAACATAGGCATCGTGAGAGCAGCACCTCTGGTATCCATATCAAGTAACCAATTTTCCATTGATTGCTCTTCAATTTCAGTGAAAATATGGCCAGTTGGTCTCTTCTCAGCCAAAGATTCGCGCCCATTGATCCGATACTTCAAAGTTGAGACAGGTAAATCAAATGATCGTGCAGCAGCTGCAGCAGAGGGATATTTACCATCTTTTATAGCCTTTATAGCTAATAAAAGACGGCCCTCCTGCTCTATCAACTTTTTTTTCGATCAGAGCGTTGGGGGGGCATTTTTGTTGTGGTTAAAAAACATGTTTTATTATTGAGGGGATTTTTTATGGGGTCGCCCGACCGGCAGTGTCGCCCGGGAGACCGTGAATCACGTTAGAGTTAGCTTGTCAAATATTATGTCATCCTCTCACCAAAACACAACTCAATTATACCACGTAATTTGGCTTGGATAGTATGCTGTGGTATAAGCGAGAGTTGACTGTATAATAATATAATTAAATTTCAGGGTTGCTTAATAATAGCACTTTCAAAAATTCGCTTAATATTTTGTGTAATACCCCTTAGCCTTCCGCACTGCCTTCAAACGTCTTCCCATGCTCAATATTAGCGTATCTATCTTTGCCTGATCTAATGCCTTCCAAGCTTCCACTAGGCATTTTTTAAAATAATGCCAGTCTACCTCCGACCTTCCCATGCCAATAAGCTCCGGAAATAATGCAAAAAGCTTCACTTTTAACCAGCGCCATACCGGTTCAATTGGGTTCAAATCGGGTGAGTGCGCGGGCCAGTCTTCGACGTATACTCCGTGAGTTTCAAACCACTCTTGCGTGTCCTTCGCTAGATGAATCCTCGCGTTATCTTGCTGAAATACTAAATTAGGGGTGTAGATTGGCATCAGGCCTTTTTCGAGCGTCGAAATATACGACTTCGCAGTATAACCCCTCCCCGACCGCGATTCTTTGTCCCGTTCCATAATTATTAATTCTGTTCGACCTCCTAGCCAGATTCCGGCCCAAACCATTTGTGAAATATCTTTAACGTGAGCCTTAGCATTCACAAGGTCCTTACGAAGGCCCTCCGAGGTTATACGAAAGCACCATTGTGGTCCAAAGTTCGAGGTTCGTTGCACCGAACACTCGTCCGAGAAGATCCACGATTGGAAGCTTTCGCGTCGCCATTTTCGCGCAAATTTTAGCCTCTTCCTTGCAAGAGGAGGCTTAATTGGTATTTTCTGTTTCGATCGCCGTTTTCCGAGTCCGAATCGCTTTAAAATTCGACGTATAGTGGAGGGTGACGGATGCTGAGCTGTAGCAGCACTTAGCTGTTTATAGGTCCAAAACGGATGCCGACGTGCCTGTAAATAGAGATGAGAGCAAGCGCGCTCACTAATAATAGCGGGACGGCCGCTTTTTTCGCGATTCTCTAGCTTTTCGCCTTCTGAATAGCGTTTTAGCGTATTGTAGATTGTACGCCGAGAGCAGCCAAAGTCATTAGCTAATTGCACTTGCGTAGCGCCATTCTCGTGAGCATAGATAATAGCTGACCTTTGGGACGTAGATAGCTGCGCCGTTTTGCTACTTTTTGGTCCTAATTTCATTACAATCGGAGCAATAGGGGAGGTGTAGGAGTGAAAAAAAAACTTGGGTTGGTTGTTGGGCCAATATAGTGGGGCGGAGTGGGAAGGAACATTTGACTAGTATCTGTATTAAAGAAAGGGCGCATACAACAGATTATGGGAGCGAAAATTTGCTTGAGTCCTCAAAAGATTGGCAACAATAAATAAGTAAGTCAGGTAGAGGCCCGGGAAAGTCGTGAAGAGATAGTGCATCATGGAGGGACAGTGTCTCCTATAAACACCGTCACGTAGTAGTTCACGTGTAGGTTTGTACTCGATGGTTGGACCCTATCAATTCAAGAATCATATATGAGGAGGAAACTGGGGCTGAGTTATGGAGGTCACCCTCCATATATTTTGTCGACGTGTTCATTTAACGTTGCGCTATCCTTTGTATCCATTCAAATGCAATTGCGTTGGCCAGACCAATAAATTGGGTCGACGCTTGAAGTAGATCCAGGATTTTCTGATCATGCCCCATAGCATCAGCAATGCGGGATGCTATTCCTGGAAGCCAGAGGATAATGTACAGTGTCGGATAAATCTTGAGGGCTCTAATTTTCCGAAAGAGAATCTCGTGTTGCTTTCTCCTGAGACCTTTGGTCTTAAAGTCCACCCTATTCGTAGGAAGAGTCGCGCCATTCGTAGATATATCCGCGTTGGAAAAGGAGTCAGGATCGGATTCGTTTTTCAAAGGTCTAGCGGAATCGTGGGAAGACCTATTAAGTCGGCCTTCAGAGAGATCTATTAGCTAGGTTTCTGTTCATCCATATTCAAGTTATAAGTTACCTTTCCTGGAAAGATTTTCCGCCCTTTCGACACCTAACTTATAATGATTTTCAGTGGCATCAACGGTTATTCCCATTGGAGGACTTGGTTTCATTGGTATTGAAGAAGGTAATTCGTCATGGGTGCTCAAATCGTTGCTATTGCCGCTCCAGGGTGGATAGTTGACCAGATGCCGAAGGTGTATGTGAACAATCACGCACTGGCAAATGAGGAAGATTATTATAGCGAACCGCCATGCATGCGCAAGCACGTATCGCAAATACACGGGGTGGTCTTGGATCCAGCACCAGTTCCCACTGACTGGGTGGATGTAACCCTTTATTAGGGCCACAGAACCTATTTTAGGTCAGAAGAGAGATAGTGCGGCGGCCGAGGTCTTACTAGTGATAATAGGTAATATCCAGACACATCCAACCTGACCAATTTGGCGCCTAACAGTTTGCTTTATGACTGTACGAGGACACAAAACCATGATGAGAGTCAAAATAGCGATTGATAAGGTGGAACAATCCACAGCCTAAGAGTGACCTGTCAGGAACTTGGATTTAGTGTAGATGAAGAAAGACGAGCTAAAAATGCTCAAAAGAGAGATACTGGGAGGAAAACTAACCTGCACAGAAAGTTGTCCGATAAATCCATTTATGGTACAACCAACGCCATCAGCCAGGGGTTTGTTCTTGGTCACGATAACGAGGCCAGAAATGCTGTTATTCAAAGCATTTGCAAAGTCTGCAAGTTCTCTAAATATCAGTTATCTATCATCAAGGAAAACGGACATGAGAGATAGATATGGACAATTACTTGCAAATAGAAGATTTATAACCAAAGCGTTATGGAAAGGCCGAGGGGTAACCGGCCAAAAATGACGGCTGATTATGAAAGCGATACCTGCGCTAGACAGAATGCTCCCTGAGAGGGTTGTCGCTGAAATCGCAAGATCCATTGACATAGAAATTTGGGATTCAGACATAAACGTACCCATGCCCCTGTCTGTGGCAGCAATTTGAGATATATAGGTCAGTGAAAAGCTCTAGAGAAATGTAGTTGAGTCATGGGTTCCGTAATACGTTTCCGGCGCCAACTTTGATTCCCATCGCTGAAACACAACATCCACCACAAAACGCTTTTCAACTTTACTAGCTCTGTCTAGCGTGGTGCTCAGACACTTAGAACACCTCATTCCCCCCAGGAAATCAGCTTGAACCGGCAAAAAATGTCATGAATACGAGGAGGCTATAAAGCTACACCAAAAGGTCTGTGCGAATGTGTGAATTGTGGCGAGGAAAAAGAGTCAAAGACCTGGAAGTAACTGGATGTGCTTGGATGTAGGCAATTGCAAACGGTCTGCCATAGGGCAAGGGGCTCTGTATGGACTGTAAACTTGACTAGATACATACATACTGTCAGTAATTTTGTGGCAGATCGGATGCCTGACCCATGTTCTCGAGAATATCTTTATTATTGTGATTCAGAAATACTGAGAAGAAGGGGATCGGTCAAAAGGAATTTACTAGGTTATGCTTTTAATTGGCTATCGATTATCTTTTTGGGGCGACCCCAGAAGATCCCAACAAAACCCCAGAAAAATCTCAAATAATCCTAGAAGTACCCCAGAAAGCCCCAGAGAAGTCCCATAATACCCCATCTCCCACCTTTTATCAGGCTAGGGATCCACAAAAATTTCACCTGGTCAGAGCAAGACATCCAATTATACTAGGAACCTAGCCTGAAGGCTAGATCGATTAAAACGGAACCATTGCCTGATACCGCTAGTCGAACAGAACAAGACTATTAGAATAGAAAAACCTTCTTACCCATCAGTTACGGAATCAAATAAGTAGATATCAGAATAATTACCCGTATTCGTTCTTCCAGTAGGTATAAATTCTCCTGCAAACAACAAGTTTATATTTCAGCAACCTCATCAACAAAGATCCTGCATACTACCTACACGCCACTAAAATCATCTGAATTCTTCAAATTTTAGTAAAGAATTTAAAACGAGCTACATCCATCCCTAATTTGAGATTATTACCTCAAATTACGAATACCTTCAAGCAGGATCATATAGTACTCTAACAGCAGAACCAACACAAGTGTGAAAAACAGTATTATATCTTATTATTTAGCAGATTTATACACGCCAACGCCTGGATTTTATGCAAAAAGGTGTTTTTTCGGAGACTTTTCTGGGGTGACTCAGGGGCATTTTGTGGAAGGCTACCCAAAAATGACATTCTCCATGATAGAAACAATAAGACCAACCATGGTAGTGGTGAGTGAGTTGAACGTATCATTGAAGGCACTTAGGTTCACGAGGCCTCCCATAAGGCCATTGTCAAACCTATATCTGGTAAGTCACGCCCATTAAGTATTACAAGCAAACGCCCATATACTTACCCAATCTGCGTAAAACCCAGCACCGTCAAGGCCGTCACTGCGGCAAAAGGGCATTCTCTTGTAATTTCATGCTTCAGCTCCAAAGCGAGTGATACAATATATGTCACAAGACGTGTGGGTGCGACCCGGAGAGCCACTAAAAGTCTGTCGTAGAGGAGGAAGTTTTGGACCCGTAGGCCTTTGGGCTTGTTGACTTCCAAAACTAAGTTGAAGACTATTACTATACGGCGCCAAGGTTTGCGACCCCACAATAGCTGGGAACTGTATTCCTAAAAGAGCGGCTACGGAAGCTCTCTGGGGTTAGCGCTGAACTTTACTTCAGTTACCGATAGTCAGGCAGTGGTCTATTGTGGAGACCATCCTACCCGGCAATTGAAGAAGCTCGCTCGTATCATACCTCTAGAAAATAGAGCCGAGTATCGATAAATATTCTGCTTCTACTCCGTATAGTGTCTGGACTCAGTTCGAAGGTCAGCACAATTAGCGTGGTTTCAGTTAGTGTATTATATCAACCAATAGGTTGCAAGACTAAAATCCATGACAGTAGATCTGGCAATCTGGCAAGATCGCCTGGTAGTCAATTAGTCTCGGGTTGCCAGTTTACCCTAGCCCTTTCGTATGCAGCAGCCCTCCGCCCTCCCAATCATCATATAGAAGGCTGTGCTTACGGCTTAGAGAGCTATTACTCTCCATCACAACGATTATGTTTCTCAATAATGTGGGAGCAAAACTCAAAGGAAGCAAAACTCAATTTACGCGCCAATCCCTGGCCAGCCTGACATCCGCTACGCTGCCATCTGCCTTCAGCCCCTCTCCATTCAGTGTACTTGAACTCTCCACATGGCGCTTCGCCGCATGGTTGCCTGAACTTTGTTTGTCAGCTCGGACAAGCTTTTCAAAGCATTTTGGGGCGGGGGGCCCATGCACGAGGCATGTTGATATTACATGAATAGTTTAACCGAAGCAGCTTTGGTAGCCTATTCATTAGCGGCCTGTACGTTCTAGCTGGAATTGACTTTTGTGGCGGGATCTGACTTCTGTCTTCGTGGTAGACACTGAACCTCAGCCGCCGATTTACGGTGGCATGGCTGAGACAACGGAGAGTGAAGTCGATAATCCGGCGATTCTCGGCATTTTCTTGATTCCACGTTGGTTGTTTCCCCTCCCCTGAACCCCTATTTTGCATCTAATCCTTTCCGGTTTGAGCGGTTGGCTGTTAGATCGCCTGGTAGAGAAGCCGAGAGATGGAGAATGGAAAGTAAGGAGAGCGCCAGTATGGTCCGGGATAAGGTCGTCCAGGCGGGATACCCAAGTATATAAGAGAGGAACGGGACAAAAACAAAGTAAAGCCAGTGAAGGGTCGCATCTCTCTATTGTACTTGAAAAAGCTCTGCCGGACTTCATTAACCACGAACCTCCAAAATCTCCTATCTTCCAGACCAATCTTCGCCAGGCTCTAACCTGGGTACTGAAGTATTTGCTGGAGTGTGCATCAGCTGAACTTTCCATGGCCGTCAAACCTGCTCAATCTTGGTCTGAAAGCAACGATCAAGCGAGCCTTCCTGGACCAGATCGATTCGACTTCAAGCACCCCATTTGTACTGCCGAATTCAAAATCGGATTCCTCCTTCTTGCACACGTAGATTGTTTCCCAAACCCTATATCAAAGTACGCTAGGCTAGATTGGATTAACGGCCTTAAGACCCCTGTCAAGCTGTTTTGTCTTGCATAAACAGTATCAAACTGGAAGCCGCGCGCGTTGCGCATCGGCCCTGAAACGAAGAACTGGAAAGGGGAGACGGAGAGGTGAAAAAAGACATTAAAATGTGTGGATGATATTTGAGTTGCGTTTTAGTTAAGATTGACCAATGAGAGGAAAGATCAGATGACTAATAAATGAAATCGAAGAAAGCAACTAAGAAATCAGTTAAACTCGCTAACAGTTGTTAATTTTCGACTGCGCGAGTATATCGGCATATGAGATTTTCCTTGGCCTTTGAGAGCGTCTCTCTGGAGTGGGAGTGCTAGCACGAGGTAAGGCCTTGACTTCGTCTGCCGTGTCCGGCCACGTCATTTGCGTGCTTTCGTCGTCCTCATCATCTGCAGCGTCTGTTCCAATTGGCCCAGGATAATGCTGATCCCTGATAGAAGGTTCATTTGGGGGTTTCACTAGGTTAGAAAGGGGTTTTATGAGAGTAGGGAAGCGCACTGCGTTCTTCTTAGGTTACTAGCTTTTCTAGCTTTCACTTATAGATAGCTGACTAAACTAGATCATAAACCCACAGAGGAAAGGGAGAATCCAGCAGTTTTCAATGTGACCTAGACAGAATCTCTGCCTGAGGCAGTTATAAATTGATCTGATTTAATGTATCCTATTGTAGCGGCTTTAGTTCCAAACTCCGAATTATTCTCCCATGATATCCAAGTACAATGTGCAATTGATCGTGAAGAAACATGCTGTTAGTTGTCGTGGTTGTTTCGGGCCCCCAATTCAGTAGGGTACGTAGCTCATAATATTCACATTTGAACATTCGCCGCATTTTTTAAGAAAATGGTAAAATAATCGTATGGAAACGGAATGAGTCCACCGTTAACGTGAAGGTTCAACGTGATGGTCAACTTAAGGAAAACACGCGCGGACGATAAAACAACTATATATGACCAACACCCTTCAATTCAAAAGATGTTTAAATGATGGCCTTTAGAGAGCGATGCACAACTTGGTTGAAGTACGGTAGGACTGAAATTATTGGCTAATCGACAGGCTCAGGCGTAGGTCCGCGCATTTCCTAATAGTTTCACATCCCCCAGTCTACGACAAAATTATTTCAACCTCAGTGAAAAGGCCAAGTCCGACCCATTCTGAGCCCTCGGGAGAGACCGGAGAACTCCGATTGACAATCCTCCTGCTCATCTGTGCTGCAC